TAATCGCTCAAGGTAATCAGTGTACTGAACATGTACTGGAAAACTGAAAAAGGTCTTGACATTTTTCTTTGCGGTAAATTCAGGCATTTAAGAGTTGTTCAGTTTAAAATGACCGTTTCAGTAGAAAAAAACAGTTACTAGTGTTGATAAGGACAACATTATGTAGTCATTTTGTTCAAAAATTTCTTTCATTTGTATTATACAATCCGCACTGCATTAAAAATATTACTGATTTATTATGCGGGTATACATAAATATGGTCAGTTTTGGTTGATGCGGTAAAATATTTTTGTTATACGATCCAGCCTGAAATATCAAAACTACTGATTTTTTGTGACGAGTCAATATTTAAAAAAAAAAAGATGACATGCTGGCAATCTTAATTGTTAAGGACAAAAATTAGTAGTCATTGTGTTCCAATATTGCTGTCATTTGTATTATACAATCCATCTTGAGTTTAAAAAAAATACTGATTTATTATCTATTATGCGGCTAAATAAATGTTCATAATAAAGTGCAAATATTGTCAGTTTTGTTTGATGCGGTAAAATAATTTTGTTATACGAGCCAGCCTGAGATATTAAAACTACTGATTTTTGTGACGAGTCAATATTTGGAATAAAAAGAGGACATGCTGGCACTTTAATATTCATTGTGACAAAATTTTGTAGTCATTGTATTGATATATTGCTGTAATTTGTATTATAGAATCTATCCTGAGTTAAATAAATACTGATTTATTATGCGGCTATATAATTTTTTTATGATAAAGTGCATATCGTCAGTTTTGAGATATCAAAACTGCTGATTTTTTGTGATGGCGACAACATTTTGAAGTCATTGTGTTCCAATATTGCTGTCATTTGTATTTTACAATCCATCCTAAGTGTATGATTTACTCATTTACAAAATGTAGTATGTGGCTATATAAAGTTACATAATAAAGTGCAACTATTGTCAGTTTTCAGATATCAAAACTGCTGATTTTTGTGACGAGTCAATATTTGGAATAAAAAGAGGACATGCTGGCCATCTAAATTGATAAAGACAAAAATATGTATCATTGTGTTCCAATATTGTTTTCATTTGTATTATACTATCCGTCCTGATTTAAAATAAAATACTGATTCAATATGCGGCTATATAAATTCTTATGTTAAAGTGGAAATATTGTCAGTTTTGGTTGATGAGGTCAGAATTTTTTTTTATACGAGCGATATTAAGATATCAAAACTGCAGATTTTTTGTGACGAGTTAATAGTTTGAATAAAAAGAGGACATGCTGGCACTCTAAATTGATAAGGACAAACTAATGTAGTCATTGTGTTCCAATATTGATTTCATTTGTATTATACAATCCGTCCTGAGTTGAAAAAATTATGATTTATTATGCGGCTATATAAATTTTATGATAAAGTGCAAATATGGTCAGTTTTTGATGCAGTCAAATATTTTTGTTATACGAGCCAGCATTAGATATTAAAACTACTGATTTGTTGTGATGAGTCAATATTTTGATTAAAAGAGGACATGCTTCCACTCTAAATTGATCAGGACAACATTTTGTAGTCATTGTGATCCAATTTTGCTGTCATTTGTATTATAGAATCCGCCCTGAGTTAACAAAATTACGATTTATTATCAATTATGCAGCTAAGGAAATTTTCATAATAAAGTGCAAATATGATCAGTTTTGGTTGATCCGGTCAAATAATTTTGTTATACGAGCCAACCTGGGATATGAAAACTACTGATCTTTTGTTTTAAATGTTTATGATAAAGTGCAAACATGGTCAGTTTTGGTTGGTGCGGCCAAATATTTTTGTTAGACGAGCCAGCCTTAGATAATAATACTACTGATTTTTTTGTGACGAGTCAATATTTTGAATAAAAAGAGGACATGCTTGCACTCTAAATTGATCAGGACAAAATTGTGTAGTCATGCTGTCATTTGTACTGTACAATCCAACCTGACATTAAAAAAAAATACTGATTTATTATACGGCTATATAAACTCTGGTTATAAAGTGCAAATCTTGTCAGTTTTGGTTGATGCGGTCAAATATTTTTGTTATACGAGCCAGTTTGAGATATCAAAACTGCTGATTTTTTGTGACGAGTCAATATTTTGAATAAAAAGAGGACATGCTTGCACTCTAAATTGATCAGGACAAAATTGTGTAGTCATGCTGTCATTTGTACTCTACAATCCATCCTGACTTAAGAAAAAAATACTGATTTATTATACGGCTATATAAACTCTGGTTATAAAGTGCAAATCTTGTCAGTTTTGGTTGATGCGGTCAAATAATTTTGTTATACGAGCCAGTTTGAGATATCAAAACTGCTGATTTTTTGTGACGAGTCAATATTTTGAATAAAAAGAGGACATGCTTGCACTCTTAATTGATCAGGACAAAATTTTGTAGTCATGCTGTTATTTGTATTATACAATCCATCCTGACTTAAAAAAAAAATACTGATTTATTATACGGCTATATAAACTCTGGTTATAAAGTGCAAATCTTGTCAGTTTTGGTTGATGCGGTCAAATAATTTTGTTATACGAGCCAGTTTGAGATATCAAAACTGCTGATTTTTTGTGACGAGTCAATATTTTGAATAAAAAGAGGACATGCTTGCACTCTAAATTGATCAGGACAAAATTGTGTAGTCATGCTGTCATTTGTACTCTACAATCCATCCTGACTTAAAAAAAAAATACTGATTTATTATACGGCTATATAAACTCTGGTTATAAAGTGCAAATCTTGTCAGTTTTGGTTGATGCGGTCAAATAATTTTGTTATACGAGCCAGTTTGAGATATCAAAACTGCTGATTTTTTGTGACGAGTCAATATTTTGAATAAAAAGAGGACATGCTTGCACTCTTAATTGATCAGGACAAAATTTTGTAGTCATGCTGTTATTTGTATTATACAATCCATCCTCACATAAAAAAAATACTGATTTATTATACGGCTATATGAACTCTGGTTATAAAGTGCAAATCTTGTCAGTTTTGGTTGATGCGGTCAAATATTTTTGTTATACGAGCCAGTTTGAGGTATCAAAACTGCTGATTTTTTTGTGACGAGTCAATATTTTGAATAAAAAGAGGACATGCTGGCACTGTAAATTGATAAGGACAAAATTATGTAGTCATTGTATTCCAATATTGCTTTCATTTGTATAATATAATCCGTCCTGATTTAAAAAAAAATACCGATTAGTTATGCGGCTATATAAATTTTGATGATAAAGTGCATACACGGTCAGTTTTGTTTGATGCGGTCAAATATTTTTGTTATACGAGCCAGCCTTAGATATTAAAACTACTGATTTTTTGTGACGGGTCAATATTTTGAATGAAAAGAGGACATGCTTGCACTCTAAATTGATCAGGACAAAATTTTGCAGTCATTGTGTTCCAATATTGCTGTCATTTGTATCATAGAATCCGTCTTGAATTGAGAAAAATACGATTTATTATCAATTATGCGGCTTAAGAAATTTTCATAATAAAGTGCAAATATGGTCAGTTTTGGTTGATGCAGTCAAATAATTTTGTTATACGAGCCAACGTGGGATATCAAAACTACTGACTTTTTGTGACGATTCAATATTTTAAAATAAAAAGAGGATATGCTGGTACTTTGAATTGATGACGACAAAAGTTTGTTGTCATTGTGTTGCAATATTGCTGTCATTTATATTATACAATCTGTCCTGACAAAAAAAAATTGATTTATTATGCAGCTATATACATTTACATAAAGTGCAAATATAGTCAGTGTTGGTAAAAGCGGTCAAATATGTTTGTTATACGAGCCAACTTGAGATATCAAACATGCTGATTTTTTTTGTGACGAGTCAGTATTCGAATAAAAAGGAGACATGCAGTCACTATAAATTGATTCAGAAATAGAAGCAGTAGTATGTGGGAACTCTGAAATAGAGCCAACCTTAAATATTAGTAACTGTACACCAATATTGCTGTCATTTATAGTGAATATTTCATACAATCTATGCACTATGCGTTATTGCCATTGTTAATCGATTCTATTTGATAACCGAGTTTTTAAGATTAATGCTACATTCTAAAACTGATCAAAACTTAAAACATTTTATATACATTACTTGAAGAATTTGATGTTTATTGAAATATATATTCAATGCACGTTAGTATTATAACCAATATCGTTTTCGATTGATAAAAAGTCAGATCACGGTGATATTTGTAAAACACGCAACGTTTTATGCCTACTTTATTTACAAATGTATTTAATCTATAATTGTTTATAGAAAGACTCAAAGACATTTAAACATATTTTATCAATCGATTTAGTGCGGTCCTTGTCACGAGTTAACTTAGTGTTGAGCAGACCAGCAAAAAGATAACTTGGGGTCAGGTCTGGTTCAATCGGAGTTGTCAAAATCGAAGGTAACTTATTGCAGTAACTTTTAATGGTAGCGGACCTGTTTAAAGTAATTTTTTTCGGCAGTCATAAAAACAGTCCTAGGACCAAGTCCGCTTTTCAAGTTCACTTGATTGTGGTCATAGGACTGGTCAGAGCAGTCTTAAATCCTGTCGCAGGTAAACTTTGACCAGTCAAAATGATTGGTTAGCAAGTTAACTTGCTGTACAGGTTAGGACTGCACCCATCGGTAACGTCATAACTGTTTGAATATATTGACTTCTCAAGGTAAAATAAACTCGTTAAGATTATGTCGAATTCGCATTCAATCATTATGTTCTTGATAATATGTTAAACAGAATGACTGTTATAAAAATGAACATCAATGCATAATAAATAAATATTGTAAGGGCCTTTTAATGTACCAATATTTAAAACATAGTGGAGAAATGGAAAGTATTATGTATCGATATAAAGTAAATCGAAATGAACCGAATGTAAATTTACCTAAAATTAGAAAAATGAAACAACAAACATTATGAAAAGAAAATGTTCCTATCTCATTGCACAATTCTACTTACCATGTTCTTCTTCAATTTCTTTGTTCTGTGAACAAAACGAAATAGATGATTGAAATATGAGTCTTTCAGTTGGATTGATATGTGACAAACAATTGGATATTCAGAGTAATCCCATGAATTTAAAAAAAAAATAGACATTCAAAACTCAAAAGTTGAAAAAAAAACTAACAACGCCATGGCAAAAAAATCCCCCAAAATAACGAAAACAACGAAAACATGAAAAAATCTACAAAATACTACATTGAATACTAAAGATTTAGCAACACAAACACAAACGCAAAACCGGGGGGGAGGGGGGGGGGGAGGGGGGGGGGAGGGGCAGGGGGGGGGAGGAAAGATAGTTCTCAACAATTATGACATATCAATATAGTTTTGATTTATTTATGCATTAATGATGCCAATGTGTAAAAAATCTTTTGATTATCGATCATCTATGCTTTTGATGTTTACTTATTTCTTAACCGATCTAACACATTGATTTTTTTTACAGAAGCATGGGTAGTGTACATTATAGTTTCATATATTGTTCAGAATATAATTGATTTTTTTGTGGTTGAAGGAAATACACCTTTCTGTATCTCTTGAAGTTCTTCATTTTCTTTATCCCATAAATGATACGATACTTTAGAGTTTCCTTTTCTTTATACATAAATGCTACGTACAATGATGACATTCAACAAAGGGTTCCTAGTGGTAAGTTACAAGTATTTACTTTGACAATTTTAAGTGGTTGGCTTTGATGAAATTTCTATGTCACTTATGATGACGGATATATTTGAAGTTGTCGGGGCCACAATCTCGACCTCTTTTCCTCGAATATGATTTACCATAAAATAAGATTAATCAAATTTATATGTTCTTTGAGCAACACGACGGGTTCGACATGTGATCATATATAGGTCTAGGCGGGTTTTTTGTTGTAAAGTGTTTTATATACAAATGTATATTTTTCATAAGTAAAATTGAAGATTTATAATATGAAATTTAAATGTAATAACAGCACTGTCCTTTACTTGTACTGGCACTTACAATCGAGCCATCTTTACCGTGCATATCTTTTTCAATAAATAATGTATCATTGAGGCAATGTGCCCAAATATGGCTTTCCTGTGTATTCACACAGCTGAACAGACATTTATGTATGCAAAATTTGCTCTGCTGGAAATCGTGTCTTTATGTTATATTTCCCGAGGAACTATTAATCAATTTAGAGTGACCTAAAGTATTTCCAAGAATATTTATATCAATATCCAGTTTACCAGACATATTGTGTCACAGTTTATGCAGAACACAGTTAACTTTCACTAAAACCACTGACCAGACATGTTTCTTTGGTTTTTCGTATGGAGAACAGAAATTAATTTAAGAACAGAAATTAATTTAATTTCTTGTAACGAACAGATATGCAATACATAGACAAATCTAGCTATTGGGTAATAATATCTGCAAACATGTACAAAGAAGTAAGTGATGATGATATTTACTTCAACAACTATTAATTTTCTCTTTTTTGAATTTTACAGGGTGCCATCTGCTTAATCAAGTCGATTATTAATCAACAAAGCAAATAATGAAAATAGCATTAACGGATATCTATCGTTAAAGACTTAAAAATTGAAGCGCATACATTTATAATTTAATATAGTTTACTGAACATGATTGACGAGCCATTTGCTGCAAAGTTGACAAAAAAACCAAAATATGATTTTGTTTTGTTTGAAACATTTTTAATAGCAATATTGTGAAATAGTTTTGGTTGAATTTGTCAAAATAAGCTCAAAAATACTGATGATGTGGTATTGGCTTGTAAGTCAATAATTCAACTCATTTGAATCCGTATTAATGCAAACTTGAATGCAAGCTTTTTGTTGGATGGGCTACGCATAGAGTAGGCATATTTGATTATTTAAAAGAAAAGAATATCAACATTGAAAGCGAAACAAAGCAGCCTGTGGGAATGTCCTTTCATTGACTGATTTTACTGATAAAAATCATTCAAATATAGGTAAAAAGATGATTTATTTATTTAAAAATTATATGAAATGAAATCAAACAGACCTAGAAAAATCGTCATTTCACGTGTGCACGTGTTTGCCTATTCAGTTATGTTTACATCAGGTCATAGGACCAAAGGACTTCTTTGGAGATTATCTCGTTTGTTAATTAGGTGGCATCTATTCTAAATTACACCCGAAACGTTGATACATTATAACGAGTCCATGTATGGTAAATTATTTCTGTAGGACGTTTTGTAATTTAGATAGACGTTTTTGTATGTTATAAATAAAATATGAGATTTTGAGTCGATTCGTTGAACATGAATTTGACAGTGTATATGTACATGTATGTCCTTTTGAGTAATTAAACGATTTTTTGTTTAAAAACTGTTAGTTTTTCTGTTACTTATTTTAACATCGGATTCGGACTTCTTTTTAAATGAGTTTTACTGTACGTATTGCTGTGTGTTTGTTTATTCTACATTTTCTAGAGGTATAGGGGGAGGGTTGAGATCTCACAAACATCTTAAACCCCGCCGCATTTATTCGCCTGTCCCAAGTCAGGAGCCTTTTGCCTTTGTTAATCTTGTGTATTTTATATATTTTGATTCATTTATATGTTTCAGAGTTTAGTGTGTCGTCCATTTTCACTGAACTAGTACACATTCATGTTTAGGGGCAAGCTGAAGCCCGCTTCTGGTTGCGGGATTTTCTCGTTTGTTGAAGTCCTATCGGTGGCATTGGACTGTTTTTTGCTATTTGGTCAGGTTGTTGTCTCTTTGACACATCCCCCGCTTCCATTCTCAATTTTTTTGAAGATATAATTTTTTTTAAAATAAAATACAAATGACAAGATTTGTATTCAAAACATTAAGATCCCCTCCGGGTTCGTGTGGCTCAGGCTTTAGTTTTCTAGGTAGTGTTTTGTGTACTGTTATTTCTTGTTTGGTAGTTTTTCGTTATGGGCATAGCATTGTCATTTTTGTTTACGTATGAGTGTAAATACCCCTTTGCTTTGAGACATTCGCCTCTCTTTTGACTCTATAACTAACACAATTAAAATGAATATATTCCGATCAAAACTTCAAAAGGCTGACATGAACACTTGTTATAAATTTCAAGTACGGCAGTATTTCCATGGATACAACATGTACAATCTTGATTATTTGAACATAGTTTGCCCAAAAACAGCTGGATTATACACCTAAAATAGTACTTGCGACTTAGGGCGTTACTATTTTAACGATTATTTAAGTTCTCGTCAAACTTAAGTCCCAAATCCTTCAATCTTAAAAGTGAGAATCTTTGACTGACTAGACTGATCGGACGGATTAATCTTTTTGACGGATTGAACTCTGCTATGTCATATGGTGAACCCTTAAAGATTACGGAATCTTAGTTTCATTCCATTAAATTTAAATAGAGCCACGGAATAATACAAATCTTTTAAGTACAGAAGCGCAGCATTTTATTTGTTATCAGTCAGCAAAGATGTTACTATTCCAAGTTTTACTTTGTTACAAGAGAAGTAAAGTATGCAGATAAAATTCTATTTGATTCTTTTCAAGGAATTCCTTCTGACCATTTTGCTGACGTATATAAATAGGGATTTTTTTTTCCAATAAGTGCTTAAAACGATGTCTATCGCGATGGCTTAAATCTACTGAATTTCCCGAAAATGCTCTAAAAAAATCAAACAAACAAATATTGCTATTTCGGTGCATGATTTCCAATTAAAAAAAGAAATATGGACACTCTAAAAATATACAAACACAAATACAAAATCTATTTTCCCTATTATCAGACAAAGATATATAGTACAAGATATTTGCAAAAAAGGAGCGCAATGTATTCCGTCTTGCTGTATGAAAAATTCGTCATTTTGATTGCAGATGACTCTACACCTTACGATATTTTTTTTATCGTTTATGCAGATAGTTTTCAGAGCCAAAGCAGGCAAGTGTGTCCAAAAGATACACAAAAGCAAATCTAATAATGTGTAATGAATTTTATGTGTTAAAATGAAGAGAGGAATCAAATATAAACAAATTGTAATTGGTCCAATCTGCTTTTCCTCCTGTTGCTTCAGAAACATAGGTTCTGCAGAATAGTTTCGTAAAATTTAGAAATTTACGAACAACTATAAAACATTTTGAGGCTATATTTTACTTTAATCTTATATTGTTATTTATTTGTATTTGGTCCTCTTTTTCTAAAACTCTGGATAACATATCAATTATGTTGAGTTTCCTTTCTTCATATCAGAATAGAATAATATATAAATCTAATAGGTGGTTACATCAGTTTTTTTTTATATAATATGTCTCTGTCTCAACTAAATGATTTTATAATAATGATTATGAAAGCTGATGACTTGGGCGCAGAGCATTCATATTTTGTGGTTGGATTTTACAAAATCAAATTGTTTATTTCAATTTTTTTGGGAAAAAATATTTAATTTAGACTGGTTGTCTTTGAGCTGAAAAAAATTGTTTTATTTCAATCATTGTTTAAAAAAATATGTCATTGAGTTTAAAAGAAACTCTTGTTCTTGTGTTTAACATTGAAAAAAAAAAAGTTTTTCTTAATAAACATGCAGTAAAGTAAGAAGAAAAAATTAATGTCACGAGAAAATGAAAAATCCCATGACCCCAACCAAACTTACAAAATTGTGCCTATACGTTCCGTATTGACAAATGCACATTCCCCAAAATATGCCAGGCTGGGCCTTTCACAAATTTGTGAAATAAGTGTTTAGTTCTCCTTTCAAAATTCCTGTAATTATCACTGAAAATGTTTGTATTTTCTTTTTTTTTGGGGGGGGGGGGGGTGGGGGAGGGGGAGGGGAAGGAAGGGTAGAGGGGGGGGGGGGGTGGCAGGAGTAAAGCTTTTCTAAATAAATATTCATTTTCCCCTTTTGCGAAACTACATTTGCGGGTGTCGCTTTACTGCGCGTTATTTTATTTTCATTTTTCTACAATTTTATATCTTCAATTTTGTTAGGCAAATTATTCATTTTCGTCCTGTTTTGTGCAAGGTTATTTATGTTCAGTTCTTACCATTACCAGAATATTTATATTCTATATTCTCCTTGCCTTCAGAATATATGTGACGAGATTTGTACATAAATGGTCATCAGTTAAATTGAAATAAATCTGTATAAAAAGTAGTTTATAAAAGTAGTGTACATGTACATGAACCTGTGTCATTTCATCTACTAACCACATTTTCTTCTGTAGGATAGATATTTGTTCAAGTATACAGTTGTATGCCTGTTGAAACTAGAAATACATGCAAGTTTTCTACATGGCCCAACAACATAATAATTATATACTCCTGTAATATGATATTTGATACTTTTCTTTCCATTGAAAGCACATAAACTATATATATATGGAAGGGTTATTTATAACAAAAACATCACAAATTCGAAATTGGTGGAAGATAGTTATATATAAGACTCCCTTCATTCAAAAACCTCTTATTTCAAGCACAAGTTCATACAAACTTTGTCTTTAGAATAATTGATGCATATTTGAAACAATAAAGGAGTTTTCTATTTTGTTTTCCTTTCAATAGTTGATACATGTTGTATTCGGGCATTTAAAAGGCAAATGTTTTGCACTATTTTTGTTTACCCAAAACTTGTTAGTTGAAATTGTTCAACTTAAACAAAATTGAACACCAAAAATTCAAATATAAAAATGGCCATTCTGTATTTAATTAAGTCTAGGAATAAAGTTATAGTCCTTTGATTTTCGTTCACTCTGAATATTTTCCAATGTGTGGGAAGTGTGGGAAGTGTGTATGCCTGCGGATATTGTTTACATAAATGGAAAGAAGTGGTGAAATGATGTGTAAATTTTTTTTTCATAGATGTTGTATTATAGTCTAAATTCATGTTTCTTCTAATTTGAAGTCAACGTATTTTCTTTTTCGAATACCAAAGATCAATGAATAGTATGTTTGGTAAGGGTAACATGTCTTCCTGCAGACTGTTCCTTTGTGATCTGGCACAGGATATCAGTCTAGTACTACTAATATCACATCAATATTTTCTCATCCCGAATATGCATTTTATTTAGCCAATACATGTTAAACAGTCATCCATAATCATGCCTAAATACATGTATAGACATTGGACAGTATAGAAAATATGTTCATTGCATGATCTTTTTTCAAAATATATGAATATCGGACTATTCGAAAAGTTAGCATGCCATTGGGCTTATACTTAGGTCTTATAGGTAGAAACTACATTGCCCATAGAAAAGTTCTTTAAACTAGGATCAATTTGCGTTTTGTACCGATATCAAATGCAATCGTCATCATCGAAAGCCAAGTTTACCATGTATTTCGTGCCTATTCAAAGTAAAAATATATGGCTTCCAGTTTCTTGAATGAATTCTAGAAGTGTTATGATCACCAATGTTAACAAGAAGAGCCATCAAAGACTGCGTCAAAACCCCAAGGATACATGAATCATTATTGATAATGGTATTTTATTAAATGTCAAATTGATAATCAAAGAAACATTTTGAAATATACCTTATTATTTATACGAAACAAATTTGAAGAAGTATATTCATTTTATTTCACATTTGGGAATATCGTTTTTTTTTCAAAGAGTTTTGTCTCCTGAGTAGTAGTAACCATTCACATTTGCTGTGTACAATAAAACTCTGATAGACATTTTCCAATAAAATGAAATACGTACTTCGAGTTGGGAACGATTATTGCCAATATATGCATGGTAACTTCTGATCCTACCGTTTAAGTTGACTTTGTGAACTTCTAGTAAAAGGGTTAAAGATTACTTTCTGAAGAATTTTATTTTCCTAGCTTTATCAAAATAAATAAAAAAAAATATATAGAAAATCTGATACGTCCGTTGTCAAATTATGCAAATAGTTCAAGTGTTTCTAGCATGCCATTACGCTAAATTTAGGACCTAACTTAATTCCAGACATGGTAAACACTACGAGATATATTTTTTGTTCAACCGATACACATTATCAAGAACCACAGCAGAAGTAAAAATAGAAGGTTGCCAAGTGTATCGTTTGAGCTGGTCGAGTATGGAACAAAAAAAAACTCATAAGTTGTTATATTTTAGAAGAAGATAGGGTTGCAACATTGTTAGTTATGGTGATGCTCTTTCATTGACAATCACCAGACATATCCTTTAATTAAAATTTAATTGTAATACTTATTTCATTATGAAAAGAAGACATTATAAATAAATTAGGGTTATCGATATTTTGTCAACATACCGTCAACCAACTTTTCATGATATCTTTGCATGGATGTGTATGCTTATGTTCTGTACAGCGGTATTGACTCTCTGCTAGTAAGGTATCAAATTCAACTTTCCCCTCGTTCGAAAAGCAATTTCCCTTAGAACACTTGAATGTCTTCGTATAAGTAATATTTATGCGATACCGTAGTCGCATTGAACGAACAAGATCTATTAGTTTGCTTTTAATGTCAGTGTAACAATGACGTTCAAGATTCCACTGCAAGACTTGCATAGCAATAGAATTTTGTGAGAGGCAAATCATGAGAACTCGAGTACGTGAGTCATTTATGTCGAAAAGTCCTATATTGCGAAAAATACACAGCTGATTATCCTTGTTTATCGAAAGTCTTTTCTCTTTGACAAAGCTAACTAATATATGATTGAAATATGACGGGGGTAAAAAGTCAAACTCCAGTATAAACCACGATGTTTTCTTTTTGCACTTTTCAGCGCCGATCCCTCTAATAATGTCTTTGAGTGTCGCAGTTTTTATCATACAGGGCATATACAAGATTTTAGAGGCCTCATCATTTCTTGATTTGACGATAATGTCAAATTTTTCCATAATTTGTAAAACAAATATTTTATGTTTCATCACGTTTAGGTGCGGAACTTTTTCTAGTAATTTCACGATTAAGTTATTTGACAATTCGCCTTTATTTTCTAGTTCTGACCATTCTGTCATATTTATAAGCTCATTTGCATATTGATTGGAGACAAAACATTTAAATACGTCAACGAGCCATTTGGGATCTAATACAATAAAATCTTTCACGTCCTCAAAAAATATGATATTACCAATATCGTGTTCATACTTTAGAAAAGAGTCGAGTTCAGACGTAGTCTGATTGTGATCTGGAAATGAACATTTCGCTGCTAATTCTATAGCTTCAGCATACGACATAGTATAGTTGGCCTCAGATATCTTACTGTGAATTACTTTTTCAAGAACTATCCATCGCGATGGAAGATTGTCACCCCAATTTTTTAGGGTCTTAGCTTTATCAAAAATTTCTTCTCGCAGCTTTTTAAATTCCTCTCCATTATCTGATGGAAATTTATTTGACAAAAAATGAGTTTTCCGAAGGTGTCTGCGTTTCTCATGATAAGATAGAATTTTGCGCAAATGATCTTGGAAATTCTGCTGACCGTCTTCTCTTTCATCCTAGAAAAAATAAAGCCATTATAGTCTGTATCCAAACAAAAAATACAAAAAAATACAAAAAATACAAAACAAATTGTGACAATATTTGTATCAATTGTTATACAAGCATTTCGACTCTATTATATGCCATTGTTACATTGTGAAACATACTTGAATTTCATTCAAAATGTATGCATATGTGTAGGTGACTAAAGATCTATCTTTTATCCTGTAACATTATTACTCATATCGAATTACTTAAGTAATGACACAAAAGCATACGGTCTACAACTAAAATCAAGTATCTATACAATGCTCTATTTCACCCCTAGTCTCCAAATTCTGTGAATATATTAAACAGAAACTACAAAAGCTCTGACTTCTGCATCCAAGTCCATAAGAAAATGAAAAAAAAAAATCCGTAAGCAAGATTTGCTTTCAGAAATTTGAGTATAATCTAAAACAAATTGGACATAACGAAATGCAGCAAAATAATTTTAAGTGTCACACCAAATATAACAACATTTGTCGGATAGTGAAAATTCCTGTTACCGTATCTATTCAAAACTCAAACGGAATAAAAAAAAAAAAAACGAAGTATGCCTGCATGACTGTTTATTGATAGTGCAAACTATGATTTGAGGCATGATATGTTAATGCATTCCCGAGCCCAAGAATGTTGTTAAATCCTTTTATTAAAGCTATCAAATATCTATCAAATTCTCAAATTCCCTGAAGGAAAAGAGACGTTATCCTATTTCATAATTTTGAAAATTGACTTTCGAAAGGCAAGTACATTTGTGTTATTATCTAAACCAGTGGATTCAGAAATCAACTTCTTGTTATTTACATTATTGGAATGACAACAGATACATGAAAGAATATCAAATACTTGTATCATTGTATCATGAGAGCACAAAGAGAGTACCGTGTCGACGAACTATCATTTGCAAGCTATCGAAAGTAAGCTAAAACTACTGAGTGTGCTGATATGAAAATGTATCGTCCTACATTCTTATGCCAAAAAAATGTTAAATTTTGAAGAACAATTCTACTGTTTTGTTTATATTTTTTTTTGGTCAAATACCCTCAAAAAGTACAAATATTCCACCACCTGAGACAGGTACAAACGATAAGAAGGAGTACCTAGAACATCGCATAACCATCAAAAAGGAACTTATTGTTCGTCGTAACGTTCTGTTTGGAAATAACCATGTAATTGTCTTTAAAACAAGATTGAATAAAACAGTGACAACTTTTATATGTCGTCCCTTCATAAATTTTACGGACGCCATCACTAGTTGGTAGATCGTTATGAAATATCAGTTTCACAGATGACAACGAATATGTTCCAATTGTCGTAACTACAATTCCGTCCCCTTTTCCCTGAATGTGATCTACCGAATGAGATTTATCACCGGGTTTGTACTTACATGAAAAGCACCACGGGTGCCACATTTGGAGCAGTATGTACTAACCTTTCAGGAGCACCTGAGATAACCCCCAGTTTTTGGTGGGGTTCGTGTTGCTCAGTCTTTAGTTTCATATGTTGTGATTTGTGTACTGTTGTTTGTCTGTTTGTCTGTTTGTCTTTTTCTTTTTTAACCATGACGTTGTCAGTTTTATTTCGACATATGGGTTTGAATGTCCCTTTCGTATCCTTCGCCTCTCTTTTTTTTTATAATAATCTCTTTTCCGACCATGTCAAAATTAATTCATCAAACGATAGCATTTGAATCTTACTAGACACATCTACTGACTATAGTATAATCATTCTTTCTGCTTTATACCATGTTCCCGACAATGGCAGCTTATTTTATATAAAAGTCGTTGGCTGTCCACTAGATAAAAAACATACCAACGGAATTTTGTCAATCCCTGTGCCAACTATGATAACAGGTGGATTTAGATCTACGCTGCATTGGCTTGATGCATTAGGAACGTCTGTCCTATAGCAATGTACATTATCAAGCCAAAAGTCAATGTATTCTGAAATTGATGAAGACAGTTATTTTCTAAAGAAAATAGAAAAGCGTGAACTGCTTTTAAATTTTCCCAGAAAGGTAGTCGTAGACATTTATAGAACATGATATACGATTATCATGAATTCATTGATACACATTTTTTTCAGTAAAAATACTTTAATTACATATTAGTAATTCAACCCGTTTTGTATTTACATTGCAAATATTACAATTCAACTAAAGGTTGGTGTGTGCAAGATGCTTATTGATTCATATTGTTAAATATCTGTTTTTGTATTTTAGTAAATTCAAATGGAACTGACATATTTGCACAAAAGTCTTGACGTTATACTTATAGATGAAATACATAACGTTCTGTTTTACAAGAATATTTTCTGAAAGTTAAGTCATTTAAGTATATTTGAACATGTAACTTAGCAACAATTTTGTTGGGTCTTCGTTTTTCTACATCTTGTATTGCTGTAAATATTCAAGTTATTTTCTGTTCTTTATTAATAAAATAAAATAAAATATGAAAATAAAAGACAACCAAGACTCTCCCATGGATTTTTGATCTCAATAACCGAGCTAATTTTCAAAGGCTTTTAAAAAAAGTAGGGTCATTTCCTATGTATTTGTTCTCTCGTAGGGTCATTTCAGAATGTCTTTTAACCCTACTTAAATTTGAGTCTTTAGTTAAGAAATATTACTTCTTTATCATATTTCCAAGGAACCATAATCTTATTATTCGCTTAATATAACACACATATAATGCATTAAGGTCTTGAAGGATAGATGCTAGGTACTGATGGTGTTTATCATCTTAATTACGTGTTAAAGTGTTCTTTTATTTATCTATGTAGATTATTAACCTTTACTGTTTAGTCCATTTTTGGTAATATCCTATTGGCGTGGCTCGGTACTAAATAAACTCATCATAGATACCAGGATCGAAATTTTGTATTTGCGCCAGACGCGCGTTTCGTATACAAAAGACTCATCAGTGACGCTCGAATAAAAAAAAAGGTAAAAAGGCCAAATAAAGTTGAAGAGCATTAAGGACCAAAAATTCCTAAAAGTTTTGCCAAATACAGCTAAGATAATCTATCCTGAGGTAGAAAAGCCTTAGTATTTCAAAAATGTAAAGTTTTGTAAACAGTTAATATATCCCGCCATTGTGTTATTAATGTTAATGTGCTGTTGTCATTTTTTTAGTCTTTCATTTTTGCTCTTGTGATTTGTCTTAATGCCAATTTGTGTTTCTTTGTTGACATATTTGTTTGCTTTTATAGTGATTAAGATTATAATACAATGTTGACTGCTGTACCCCTATTTTTGACATTTTTACCTATTGTGTCTGGTTGTTTTGTACACACATTATTGTCAATACAATGGAATTTTATGCGACAGTCACACAAGTGAGAGGTTTAGTTATCAATAAAACCAGGTTTAATCCACCATTTTCTACATATGGAAATGTTTGTACCAAGTCAGGAGTATGACAGTTGTTTTCCATTCGTTTGATGTGTTTGAGCTTTTGGTTTAGCAATTTGATAATGGACTTTCCGTTTTGAATTTTCCTTGGAGTTCGGTATTTTTGATATTTTACTTGACAATGCTGTTTAAGTTAATGAAGTTAATAATTTATGCTTTATATAACTTTGCATTCAAAAGACGATTTGACTCGAAAGTTATTAATATATATATATATATAGTTTAATCTAAGTAGACTGATATATGATTCATTCAACATCACAATCATATTTACTGATGAAGGATATCTGTTATCCGAAATATTTATAAATAATTACATTTATAGTTCCTTTTTTTGTTATTGGTGTTGTTGTGTACACTTTTTAGGCGTTTATATAATTTATTTATTGTGTACGTGTATCGTTACTCGTAACGATCCAGCGCCCTCGTGGGAAAAATCGTTGACTATTATTCAGACGTTTTATATATATATATATATATATATACTATATGATTGCGAAACAGAGTATTCATTTAAACATATTTTTCCTATACCTTTTTAGGAACCCTCGAATTTTCCACAAATTTGTCAAAACTGCGGTTTTGAGTCATCATAAAGCATTTTAATCGATTTCTGATAATTTGTTTGAAGTAAATATGGTATCTTGGATTTTTGTATCTTCACAATGGAAAAGTTACCTCCTAAGCTTTCGAATTTGTCCTCAAGCATGTTATGATATGTTTTCTTTGAGAAATCTTTCGATATATCTGCAGCTAGTAGGTAAACAGCATTTGCACTAAGGAAGGTTTGATGTGTTGCATAGAATTCCTTCTGACCAGCAAAATCCCAAAATCCGCAGTCTGCAAATTGTTCATTTTGACCAGACCAAACCGAATAAGAATCTTCATCGGCTGTAAGTAGATTAAATCACATATAACAGGTCTTAACTACAAGACATTTGAATATTAGGACAAAATCATCAGAATAATACTATTTTACACGTTACTGTGTGGTATATTTTTTCTACAAGTAAAGTAATTGTGGGTAAATGCCAACAAGACATTTACAAAAGTAGTACATTATTGTCCTTTTGTTTTTTGTGAATATTTACTTTAATAGCAATTCTTTTATTTCTTCTAATGTTTATATATTGTCTTCAAATAGACAGATATAAGTCTCCGTACGACATATATGTTACCAAAGGTGACAGAGATTTAAAACTTTCTGATATCTTTTAATCACCACCTAGTCATGATAAATAAAGGCAACAGTAGTATACCGCTTTTCAATACTGGTAAATCAATTGAGCTATAAACTATGCCAATTCAACTGAGGCAAATATCTGTGTTGAAGAAATGAACATTAATGAAATAAAGATACATTTGTAACGTAATTAATGTGGGAAATTATATATTTTTTTTAATTTCACAGGCTCTTCCCATACCCCATTCTTTCTGCAAAAAGCTAGAATTATATTAATTATACATCTACAAAATATGAATATTAGGTTAAGCAAATACATGTAGCATGTAAAATAAAATTCGAGGTAAAAAAGAAAAATCTATGAACAATTTTTGATTTCTTATCGTGATTTTTTATTCGGATTGTTGATTGTCAAAATTTATTTTTTGTGGATACCCATTAAGAAGCAATTAAAACTATAAAATTATATCATCAGTATAGGGTTAACAATACTATTATCTATGTGCGATCACAAAAATCGCAAAAAAATCATGAATATCTAAGATTGATTGAAAAAATATATTTTAACTAGAAAAATAATAATGAATTTACACATTACAGGTACAGAACGGGAAAAACGATGGATGACAAAAACTGAAAAATTGAAATAAACATGTATATCTTCGAATTTATAAAGCAGAAAAAAAAACAGGAATTTCAGAACAGATTTCTACAATGTATTTATTTTGTAAAGAGGTATTCATCATTCAATTGTTAACAAATGAAAGTTGTATGAGTATAATAAACAATACATTCTAATGATACTGCAGTATGTACAAAGAACAGCATGCATGGGAAATATGTCCTACGATATGATATAGGATTCAAAACGTGCGTCAATAATCTAGAGAAGACTCATGACTGTCATGTATAGTTGTCTCAATCTTAATCATACCATATCTACCTATGTATATACTGGTTACAGATAAACCGGTTCTAGTTGACACTTTGCAATAATTTCAACTTGTTATAATTGTATATAATGAATATCAATACACATTTTCAAGAAGTGTCTATTGGTAAGCGTGCTCTCTGTAATGATCTTGTTGACGCTCAGGAACGGTAAGTATAAACAAGATATTATTCTAATAGGCATTGTCCTTTACTTTAAGGAAATATAATGACTGATTTTTCCTAGTAAATTGGCCAGTCGCTCTTAGACATTACCTTTCAAATATTCATAATACAACCCCGTGGACACCCTTGATGCTATTCAATTAACAGAAAGCATCAGTTTTAAGTGCTGTAGTGTAGTATATTAGGTAAATTTCCTTTGAATTTGTTCAAATTGTAATAATTATTGTTAATAACCAAGAGTTCCAAGTGGTGAAGTTGAAATCATCACTTCGTAAATTTTACGGACGCCATCACATTTGTTTGACCGTTGCAAAATATCCGTTTTACAGATGATAGCGGATATGTTTCTAATGTCGTAACTACAATTTCGTCCCCTTTTCACGAATGTTACCTACCGAATTAGACTTATTACCGGGTTTGTACTAACATGAGCAACACGACGGGTGCCACATGTGGAGCAGGATCTGCTAACCCTCCCAGATCAACTGATATGACCCCCAGGTTTTGGTGGGGGTTCGTGTTTTTCAGTCTTTAGTTTTATATCTTGTGTTTTGTGTACTAATTTTTGTCTGTCGGTCTTTTTCTTTTTTTTTTAGCCATGGCGTTGTCAGTTTGTTTTCGACTTATGAGTTTGAATGTCCCTCTGGTATCTGTCGCCTCTTTTTTAACTCGTTTAGTGTTGTTTTTTTCACAAAGAACCTCCGGTTTTTAATCTGAAATTCAATAATATTAGTGATATCAGACCATCTTTCAATGTCGCAGTTATGTGTCATTCCTGATAACATCCCTATAAGTAACAAACATAACTCTTTTTTTAAATGGCCAATAATTCTATAATCTTAATTTGATCATAAGCATATTTTCAATTTAGTTTCAATTAAGCTGTGGTTGAAAAGTTAGCTTTTTTAAAATTTGAAACTGGCACTTGCGATGATTATCCAGATATATATATATGCACATTTACTAGATATTTACTAATATTTAGCATTGATGAAAGAGAACAGAAAAATAATCATATATTATATAGAAATGAATGAGTAAGGAACTATTTACTTGTTGGAAATTGCCATTCACCAGTCTTTACATCAACCTGACATTTCCGTCTTTCAATATCCAATCCATCGGTGCTGATGACGTCATCTATTGGTTTATTCATTAAACGTCTTAATAAGCATGTTTTCCCAGCTGAACTTTCTCCAACGATCATAACTCTTATATAATATCGTTGTTTTGTACCAGATTTTGTTGCTTTGAGAAATTCTTCTCTATCGTGTTTGGACATTTGTTTTATAGTATCTGGCATTTCTGTAATGTAGAGAGTCACATTGTCATAACTGTCAATAGAATTGTAAGGACCATTAAAATGTCTATGAAACATCCAAAAGTTTATAACACTTCAACAAAATAATTGAATTTTTGCCTAGCACATTTTAAAAACAGTTAATAGCGAGCTGTTAAATGTCAAAAATCTACTTTAAAACCAAAAAGATAGTGGTAGGACACATACTAGAAGCCGAGATGTAATGATATATGACAGTTTAATTATCTGTAGTATAGGTAGAAAAAACATAGTAGGAACCTTCAAATATTCTCTGCAGAGCGCTCAGGCTTGGATGTAGAATAATTTAGGCATCATTCCGGGTAGTATTTTGGCGATTTATTTGCCCTTTTTATGTCTAAATATTTTCACATTAAGAATTACAAATAGCCACAAAATGCATGCATTTGTTCAAATAAGAATCAAGAGATTTTTATTAGATTTTACCCGTTTACACCCCATTTCCTTTTAAAACAGGATACCAAGTTTTTTTCAAGATCTGGCTTTCAAATACTTTCCATGGAGGACAAAATTTTGATTTTTTTTTAGACAGTTTATATCTTTTCAGTCTTGAACGATGTTGAGGTTCTCTGTTTTAACATTGTCAGTGGGATTACTAAATTGTGATCTGTCATAGTCTCGTGCTGCAGGAGTAATACTTTCTCAATTTTAGTTTACGATTAATTGAATATAAAACTCCTACTGATTTCCTTTTCATGTATACGGAATAATAGGTGGTTCTATGTTATCAAAATAGGAAGTACTAGTATAAAGGTTTGAAATGTTGAGTAATTAGACTAACAAGATAATTTACTAAAATTGATACTCCTGTCTAAAAAGAACTCATTAATGATACGAGGCTTAAAATTTGTTACGCCGGACGTGCTTTTCGTCAACATAAGATTCATCAATGGCGCTCTCGTGAAAATATTTGTAGTTTAAATTAATTATAAAAACGAAGAGCATTGTAAGCCAAAAACACCGAAAGCATTGTGTCAAATATTGCTTAGGCCATACATGTATATGAACAGGTGAACATATACACTATATCAATAAGAATTTCGGACTACAAGTTCCCTGAAACGAATTACGTCCAACAGCAGTGGCATCGATCAAATGATTTTAAAACCTCAACAAATATACCATGCCGATAGTTTGTAACACAACACGTGCGTTTTGTCTACATTAGAATCATAAGTGGCACTTGAATTAAACGCTGAAGGACCAAATCAAAACGCAGTTGAAGAGCATTGCAATCCAAAAAATCTCGAATAATTGTGCTAATAGACACTAAAATGACCATACCAATAAGTGATGTCAACAAAAAGTGACGACTACTGGGCTTGTGGTACCATCGGGGACAAAAATTTCATCACATCGAAACAGTATTTGCCTTGACCAAGAGAGCATCGATGTAGCAAAAAACCTTATATGTCTTGTTATGAAAGAAAAAAGTTCATAGGTTTTGGAGTATATTGATTTAATCACGGGTTTTTGAAGAAAAGATATTTGAAAAAATTTGACGCCGATCGTTGGACACACCACACATGCCAAAGATTGAAATAGCTCATGATGGGCTTTTGGGCTGTGCGAGTGTCCCCTTTGTACAACACTGTGTCACTTAAACATCTCTTAACCTATACGGAAATAATCTAAATATGGTTATATATCGAACAGCAAAGCAAATAAATATCGTTACAAAAAGTCTCCCCTATGTAGACTCTTTATAATGTGGATAAAGGTGGCCGTCTTCCAGGATGAATATCACACATGCAAAAAAGCTCACAAAAGACAGTTGTAAAAGAGCTAGAATATTTAATCTCACATACAGATATTCAACTGATGTTCTTTTAATTAACAATCAAAACATTCCGATGTGATCCTATTTAATATATCGTCCCAAACTAAAGATTAAAGAAACCACAAACCCAACTGCATCCGCCTTTTTTTATAAATATACCTCGAATAAAACTCCAGCAGTCACCTCAGTACCAGAATCGATATCCTAGACAATGAGACGATTTTAATTTTGAATTCATAAATTTTCCGCACGTTAGTAGCAATATACCAACATTAAATTCATATCGGATATACATTTCTTATTTCATACAATATCCAAGAGAATGCAGTCTGTGTAAAACTTAGTAGGATTTTTCATGACCTAAAAACAAAGAACTTGTATCTACGTTTTATCACTATTTTTTCTTGAATGTCCTGTACCAAGTCAGGAATATGGCTGTTGTTATCAAATAGTGCGTCTCTATGTATGTTTGCGTTTGTTTTTGTTGCAGTTCAGTGTTTCTGTTGTTCCATTGTTTCTTAAAGCTGATGTGTTTCCTCTGTTTAAGAATGTAACCAGGATTTGTTTTCACTTAATCGATTTATTACTATTGAACAGCGGTATACTACAGTTGCCTTTATTTACAAATTTTATAGAAAAAAACTAGGTTTACTGAGACGATGTATTATTAATTTGTGAGAAAAATCGGATTGTAATTAAAAATGTTTCCTCTAATAATGTTCAACGTTGATGTAAAACATAAACATAAAAGGTTCTAACTAATTTGTAAATATGATAAATATGTATAGTCACCATCATGATTTGGTTGACCGTTATTGAATACGTCAGTCACATAGGAACATAGATATGGGCCTCACATCTAAACCACAATCCTTTCTCTTTACCTCTGTTAAGACGTTATCAAATTCGACTGATAACCGGCTTTTTACTTGCATGATCATTACGAAAGATGACACATGTGGAGGAGGCACGAATTAACCTTTTTGAAGCACCTTTGGTCACCCCCAATTTTTTGTGATGTTTGTGTTGCTCGATCTTTAGATTTCTGTGCAGTGTTTTGTTATTGTTGTTGTCTTTTCGTCGTTTTCATGACTAGCCAGTCAGTACGTGAAAATAACAGATTGTTTACGATGTAACGTTACTTTTGGATTAATTGCCGTGCCTATTGATCTGGATCTTTAAATATTGTTTATCATTGATTAATCAGTGCCCAAGCGCCATTACAAAAAAAATGTTTTATCCCGTCTCTAGATGAGATAGTCTTTTTAGGTATATTTAGAATTGTTCAGTCAGCAGACTTTCTGTGGAAGGCACATACGGTTTATAAGTGTAGAATAAATAAAACATAAGTTGACAATTCACCACAGTAAAATAAGTATAAATACAATCCACGTCACACAAATATAAATATTATTTCGAAGCGTTTTGTGTACACGGTTTCATTTTATTTGAATTCATTTCCTATCAAGACTTTCATTTTAATAAGGTCGTTACATCAAGTACTTTTCAACCCCTGAAAATGATACAAAAATATCGAACTCCAAGGTTATGATATATCTCCATATTCAAACCGGATAGGCTGCATGATAGTTAATGTAAAAATAAGAAGATGTTGTATGATTGCAAATGACAAAACTGTACACCAGAGACCAAATGGCGTATAAGTTAACAACTATAGGTCACCGTACGGCCTTCAACACTGAGAAAAAAATCCATACTGCATATTAAGCTATACAAGGCCCCCAAATGACAAATGTTAAACAATTCAAGCAAAAAAACAAAAGGCCTGATTTAATTACAAAATAAAAAACGAAAAATGAATATGATATATAGCAACAAAAGACAACCAATGAATTACAGGCTCGTGACTTTGGACAGGCACATACAGGAAGGTTATATACAAGGAACAGTTGTTTATTTGGTCCCTTTTTGGTGGTCTCTTGTAAAATGGGGTGAGATTAGGCTACAACCGACCAACATGAACGGCTGTTTTTGATATGTTTATATTGCAGATTTTTTCGATTTTGTGGTGGATTTGTGCTGAATTTGTAGTTACCTGTTTTTAAGTTTTGTTATTGCTGTTTGTCTTTTTGTCACCTCTTTTTGGTCATGTTGTCCGCTTTTATTGGACTTTTTGGAGACTTTTCTCCCGTTTCATTGACAACGCGTGCAACTTCTTGTTTCTTATTTGAAATACATTCTTTAGATTAGTCTTCGTAATAAATATGCATGAAATACTTGCCACTGGACGTTCAGCAAACAATAATCAATCAATATTATATCATCTAAACATACAGTACTATGATGACTTCAAACATAATTAAATAATTATTAACATATATGTTTCATCCTTTGAGAAGATATATACGCGTATCCTATAATTTCATTTTCAGAAACACAAGAAAAAAGTGATTATTTAATATCAAAGGAACACATCGTGTTACTGCATTGGCTGTTTATATGATGATGATGATGATGATGATGATGATGATGATGATGATGATGATATTAACCCTGCTTTGTACTAGAGTGACTGGATGAACAGAATTTTAAAGTGCTATTTCACAAGGTAACAGTCTGCAGGGAGACATGTCACCCTCCTTAGACAGATTATTCTCACTATAAGTTTTTCCTCCCCTTGGTTTTCTTACATGTTCTCCCCGACTAATGTTTAATTTGTAGTGTAACTGAGTGTAACTTTAAATCGTATATGTTGTAATTCTTGTTAATTTAACTACATAAATTTTACAGTTCTCAACATCTACTTCTTAACATGAAGTCGGTCATTTCACATAATCATTCACTACATTCATTCTGTGGTTAATATACAACAAAACCTTGCCCCTTACTTTAAGATTTTAATTCGTCTTTTTGTAATGTTACCCATAATTGCGGAGTGATTAGCGTAGAGGCAGTAAATACCAATTTTAAAGTCTTTCGTTTGACCCGGCCGGGGTTTTAACCCATGACCTGCTGTGCCGCACTAGAGGCGAACACGAGACCAACTTGGTGGTGTTTTATTTTTTATCTCAAGAGTTTTGCGCTGGTTGGAAAAATGACTAACCAATGAAAACTGTCCGCTAAATATGCATGTTATTTTATAAGATGAATAGTCAATACTCGAAAATGAATAAAAACAGACAAATATGTTTACTAATGTTTTATATTGCCCTAGAAAACAATACTTTACATATCGTCACAATTAAAGTATTCTTTTATTCTTAGCTGTACGTTTATGCGTATGTAATAAGTGATTTTCCTACATGTTTGCGTGTGTAATTTTAAATCGTATATGTTGTACTTCTTGTTCATTTAACTACATGTATTTTACAGTTCTTAACATCAAACTCTTAACATGAAGTCGATCATTTCACATAACCATTCACTACATTCATTCTGTGGTTAATATACAACTGAACTTTGCCCCTTACTATATGATTTGAATGCTTTTTTATAATTTTTGTAATTTTATCGGGTGTAAAAGCGTTGACCATAGCTTATTTTGTAAGAAGCATGAAACTTACAAAAAGAAGCATTCAATTCTTATAATTATATGTTTATGCAACAACCATAAAACTAGAAATTTTATCAAATTTTAGTTTATTTTCCGATGCATTATTTTGACGTTGTAAGGCTAGTGATTACTGTAGACCAAATCACACCTCACCTCACATGCATAAAATCAAAACTTTTTATACCCATGTAGAGCGTGTTCTTTGCTGATCTTCCGAACAAAAACACGTGTATTACCAATATCTCTCATTGGAAAAACATCAAAACCAAAAGTTCAGAACATTTTTTAAAATCGATAAAATTATGTCACGGGATTGACAGAAAACGGATGCAGAATGTGTGGTTAATTTAATTATTATTTATTTGTATCTCAACTGTTAAGATCATTACTCACATAACCGCAGTGTTTTCCATTCGGCATTTAACCCGGGTGTGCCGACCACCTTCTTTTGAAAGCCGACCACCTTTCCATTTTAGGAGGTGGTCGTTTTTTTTTTCAAATTCCGGATTTTTTTCGGTTCCGCACCGTAAAAATTTAAATACTAATCGCGCCTCGCTGATTGTTTTCATTGACAAAAATGGCGGATCGTCAAATTTCAATGTTTTGTTTTATTAATCGGGGGAAGAGAAAGGCAGATGACGATGGTTAAAAGGAAAATTCTAGGCCAAATAAGTCAACTAAAACGGATAGTTGTATTGAAATTGTTGAAATGGAAAACAAAAGTATCAAATCAACGGAAAAGGCACACAAGAGATCGCGAAGATGAACAGGTTGGGAACAATCCCCCAAATAAGGTTATGTTAATTCTGTTGAAAAAAAGAAAAGAGAAAAACTTAGATTTTTTAACTTAAAAGGGGGGAAAATCGTTATATTCGGACCAACTTTTCTAAAAGAAGGTCCTATTATTTTTAATGATAAAGAAGATAAAAGTCCAGGAATATTACAAAATTCTTGGACATGTTTTGACCATATAATACCAAATAAATGTATAGTTCTTTGGGAAAATTTTCTGTAAATAAAATAAATATGTGCTCATTTGTATCTCGTTAAACAATGTTAAATGTATCCCTCATAAAAAAAATAGTCATTACATTGAGAGGTTACCCCTCATTTGATAAATATGAACAGGACTTTAAATGGTTAATCATCACAGAAGGAGGATATTACCAAAAATACAGCACTAAAGCGAGGAACAGGACAGCAACTTGGATCGATAAGCTATGCATATGCAGGAGGAGGGAGTCCTACAAAAGCCAATTCTGCTATCCGAGATCCGCAAAACTAATTTGTCAAATGAATGGCTAGCAGTGATAGCAGAAGAACAGTTCAATTTTATTTAATGTGAAAACCATACTAATCCTTCTTTTTGTGACCCCCTGCAACAGTAAAAAACCCGGTTTGGAAATGTTAAAACAACAAAAAAAAAACACCCGGTTGCAAGTGATTTTTTCAAAAACACCCACCTTACCATAGTGAAAAATGGAGGATACTATAAGGATACGCCTAACTTTATTTAAAATATTTGCTGCAATTCAAATTTCATCAATTCTTATTCGGACCTTGGGCGCTTTACCGGAGAAGCAGTGTTCACAAATGTGTTTAACCCCGCCATATTCTTTATGTGCCTGTCCCAAGTCAGGAATCTGTAGTTCAGTGGTTGTCGTTTGTTCAGGTCTGTCATATTTGTTTTTCGTAAATTGTTTTGTTATAAGTTAGGCCGTTAGCTTTCTCAATTGAATTGTTTCATATTTTTCATGTCGGGTTCTTTTATAGCCGATCATACGGTATGGGTTGTTCTCTTTGTCGAAGGCCGTACGACTGCCTATAATTGCTTTCATCCACTTCATTGAACTTTGGTGAATAGTTGTCTCATTGGCAATCATACCACATCTTCTTATCTTTATATTCACTGTAAATCGATTCAAACATATATTGGTGATATGTGTTATTCGAAAGTGTATTTGCTTCCTGAAGGATACTAGTAATAAACTCCTACCACTCACCCCACTAGGGTATAAGACATCTTTTGAAAATTCCTGACTCTCTGAAATGAGGTTTCACAAATTCTGAGTACATTAATTTGTAACAGGTGCGTGTTTTTGTATATCATGTCAGCTAAGAAATACGAGACTTTGCATTGACTATATACTTTAAATTTACTGATATAAAACACTTACTGTAGTAAATGTTCATAATACATATTTGGATTCTCGTCAAGCTCATATTTTTTAATCAGAGACATATAAGAATTGCATTATATGCGTCTGTTTTTACAAAATGAAATTTGCCGGTGAAATGGTAAGTATATGGATATTTCCTAGCAAGATCGCCTTGCGTGTATTGATCTCACACATCATTGGGTTTCAAATATGTTTGAGCATTCCTGATGAAGGTAAATGCAAAAAAAAAAAAAAAAAAAAAAAAAATTTAAACGCACAAACCTGATATAGTGCTACTTTCATTTTAATCCTATATCGGTAAGATTGTGGCTTCCTCTCTCTATTTTCTTTCTCTTTTATTCTTTAAGCTTAAGAAAAAGTTTCACGTATTACCTTTAACAGCTAAGACAGCTTCGCTTCTTATCCCATTACTTTCTATCCTGTATTTCCCACTATCTTGAAGTCTTGCAGGTGAAATGGTAAGTTTGTGGATATTTCCTGGCAATGTCTCCATCTTTATGTTTTCAGTGTTCATTTTTATTAGAACGTCATCTTTAAACCAATCAACAGAACTATTTTCCTCTTCTGTTTCACAATCAAATCGTATGTCTAAACCTTCCATAATTGTTATATTTTCCAGTTGACGTTTAAACAGTGCTTTTAAAAGAAAGACACAACGATACTTAATGAAATAAGTAATTGCAATTTCAGAAGATGATTCTTCCTTTTTGGATTAAAATAAATATAAAAAAAAATCATATTTTCTTACTTCTCTTTTTTTTTATTCAACTAAACCGAATAACAGACGAGAACTCTAAACTCCTTCGTAAAACCATATTCATTATAACAGCTTGTATATATAACCTGTTTCTTTCAAAAGGTTTTGCTAGAAGTTACAATCATTACGATAAACGTAAAATAATAACAAAAAATACCGGACACAAAAGACCACAACAATCTAAAATCAGATTTTTTTAATTTTATTCTATGGACCTCCTGTACGAATAAAGCGTTACATACAAATTTGCTAGCATGGTTTTTTTTTTTTTTTTTCCATTTAGAAATATATGCATAATTGATCATTAATTGAATTAAAACACTTTGAAAAATGCCATTATTTCCGTAAAAAAACTGAAGGTTTTGCTTCTACCCTAAGTGGTTATCATATAAATGCTGTTGTTAATAACGCATGAGTACCAATGTATTCAAGATCAAATATTTTGTAATAATGCATTAATGGATTCAGAGGGATGGTACTGGTAGTATCAAATCTTTTTTTTTCAAAATCAAGTAAATCGAATGAGGAAAATCATACTTTAACCTTACCTATCTCAAGTAGAATTCTCAAACCCCAAGCTTCAAAGTATTCAAAAGTAACTGGAGATTGCTTTGATATGTATCTAAGTTTCTTTTATAATTGTTCATGGGGATACCTATTTTCTTCTTAATAATTTGTATAATGTAGTTTCATATTTACGAAAATGTTTAGTATTATCCGGCGTAGTTTAAGGTTATGAGAGATATGTCTACCATTTCTGCTCTGGTTCTCTGTACAAATAAGCAGTTCCTTCTCCAGTACGTACAGACTCATGTTACTTTTTGCAATAAGTTAGGCTTGGTTATAAGGATTCTTCCTATATCTGATCGGTAATATCTTTCGCAAGACTGTGAAACTGTGGGACATTACCATTTGTAGCCCATCAGTAAATGTAATTTCACAAACTTTGAACATCACAAAAGGTTATTTGAGGTGCATTTATATGGGTTTGTGCTTTTCTTTCCGGGACACATGAGTAATCCCATATTTTGTTTTAAAGGGGTTCGTTTTTTTCTTTGTCTTAGATGTCAGTGTTGTATTTTTTTTACTTTTTTTTATTTCTCAACGTCTGTGTTGTCTCTACCGTATATATGATTCTAAATATTTGACCGACATACACCAGCATACAAATATAGTAATTTAGAAACTAAGAATGGTCTGTTTGAGAAGATAACGTAATTGTCTTTTAAATATACAAGTTGCTGAATTATGTCGCAATCAACTGACATATCTGAAAGTACGTTATTTTATTTTGAATAACATGGAAAATATTTTTTTTAATAGCATCATTTTCAAAACATCATAAAAATAAGTTTCATGTTTTACGAAAAACTGTAACATTTTAACTAATTACCTTTAACTTCTAACTCCGCCTCGCTACAAATACCATTCTTAGTTATTTTGTATGTTCCACTATTTTGGACAGTTGCACGTTTTATTGTCAGTTTATAGACATATCCTTCTGGCGTTTCAATATTTTCAGTGTTATCAGTTGTCTTAACTCCCCCTTTAAACCATTCAACAACACCACTTTCTTTTTCTGTTTCACATTCAAATACTGTGTCTGAACCTTCCACAATGTGTTCTTTTTCCAACGGTTGTTTGAACAGTGCTATTCCAAATTTAGAAAACGTGGATGATAAATGATAACAAATTTAAAAGAGAATGTACCTTGATGTTTCAATTTGTCCTGCAATTTAATGTATTTCAAATTTCTTTCAGCAAGTGCTAGCATTATATCATATTTAACATACCTACATTAATATGATCAACTATATGCTTTCCAAAGATAACCAGTTACAAACTTTTAAGTACGTTTGATTAATTATTTGCATGTAATATGAAGTTTAAATGAAAAATGATATAGATATACAGGATAATTAGTTTAGTACCTTGATCTTTTTCTAGCACTTCAAAACGATTGTCGACCAAGAACTGGGATAACTTGTTAAGCTAACATTTTAATTTTCTCACTTCTTTACTTTCAATTCTATTGTTATAACACAATTCATTCAGGAATTACTTATAAAAATTAGTCTGTAAGACTAACATGACTTGATACCTGTCTCTTTGGTATATTTGTTTATAACTTTTGAGAAATTCAAAAGTCACACAGTTGAGGGTATCAATTTAAAGTAACACTATGAAAGCTTATTGACCAAGATAACTTCATCACACATATTTATTCTGTACTAATCACAGGATTCTGACTGGTCGTGTAAGCTTTGATTTAAAGGTATTCTTTAACATAATTAAACATTGTTAATCTGAAGATAAGCAATTCTTGTTGACTACAAAATTAAGAAAATAGGTATAATTGCAATGAGATAACTATCCCTTAGATAAAAATGACGTCGATGTTAGCAACTATAGTCAATCATACGGCCTTAAACAATGAGCAAAACTCATACCGTATAGTAAGCCAGTAAAGGAATCAAATATAATAGTTTACTTTCACGATAATTGAAATATTGTTATATACAAAGTTTTAATATGTCTAAATTGAAAACAACGTTCAAACCTATGATTGCGTTGGATAAAAACCGCAGTTTTTATACGTGTGCATGCAAAACAAATTTCTTCGTAGAGGGGTCTAAATACAGCACAAACAACATTTTCCAAAAAACCAAAAAAGTGAAAAAAAAGTATATTTAAACAAAACGCATTTGACTAACAGGTCGAACAACGGATGTTCTTAAACCCTGCTGACTGCCATTGGCGATTGCCAAATACACGGATCACAAGATGTGTCAAAATGGATCTTTATATGTTATTATTTTAATACCAAACAGAAAACAATAAACTTGCGGAAAAGATGGTATACCGCAAACATGAGGTGTAAAAACGTTTGTACACCATATCCGGATTTCGACAATTAATGTCTCTTCAGTGATGTTAGGAATCGAAACGGTATTTGGAAGGCCATATAATTTACCTCAATTTAGTATAGACTCTTGAATTTTAAAGAGTCGAAATAGGATGAACGGATCATATAAACCCGAAGGCAAATATAATACAAGCCGAAACGAAAAAAATATAAATTAAAAACCAATTGTTCAGAGAACAATTGAAGGTCTTTCCACCAGTAAGGATCTATTTTGATATGAAATATTAAAATTTGGTTTTGAATGTCAATTCCAGAGTCAAATGACAGCTTATTGTACGCTGATTCCAAAAATATATGGTTTCTATATAAAAAGATATAAAAAAGGGAGATAATTTTTTACTTCCGGTTTGAAAAATGTCACTTCTGGTATTGTTTGATAGTTTTCTTGACACTGATTCCAAAAATATATGGTTCTATATACTTTTACATTAATTTAATACAAAAAATAGCTACTTCCGGTTTACAAAAGGTCACTTCCGGTTGGCTTTTTCAAGTTCAAATGTCTTGCAACCTAATGCAAAAAAGTCCCATGGCTTTATCATGTATACTTATGAGGTAAAAGCAAAGGTCAAAATCTAGAACGTTAAATTTACCTATGACCTTGAGCTCAATTTCAAGGTCATAAACCAAGGACCTCAAATCAAAAGACCCTAGGTCTTAATTATATATGATAAATGAGTTATATCACCATACGAGCAATTTTAAATATAATAGGGGAGAAAAATCCCATTAAATGTCTCTGTACAATTTCAACTCAAATTTACCTGTTACGACATATCGCAACTAACAATTCTGTAAAACATTTTGTCGATATCTTATAAGATTTCTGAAAATTAGTGATAACAAGCCATAACTAAAATTTTGAACATGACCTTGACCTTTGACCTTGACCTCATTTTCATTTTTATGAACCAACGACCTCAAATCAAAAGGTCCTAGGCCTCTATCACTTATGGTTTTCCAGTTAAAAATACATTTCACTAATATTAAATACAAAAGGGGAAATAACTCTCATATGGAATCTCTATACGGCTTCGGTCAAAATAAAACCTAACATCCTGAGGATATAACGAGCAATTGGGAAAAATAAATTTGTCGCTTTCTTTTACGGTTGCGGAGGAGATCTCATAACAAGAAAAACAGTGTTTGGGGAGATAACTCTTACAAAGAAAAGTGTTCGGTTAAACAGGGTCAGTTTCAAAAGCGTATAGACTGTATGATATCATATACCAAAAAACTAAGCGATATCTTTTGAAACAAAAATACACCGCAAGAAAAAAATTAGGCGGAAGAAAAAAAAAATAATCAGAAGAAAACCAATAGGTCTTTCCACGGAAAGGTGGAAAGACCTAATAAGTCTAAATTGAAAACAACGTTCAAACCTATGATTGCGTTGGATAAAAACCGCAATTTTTATACGTGTGCATAGAAAACAAATGTCTTCGTAGAGGGGTCTAAATACAGCATAAACAACATTTTCCAAAAGACAAAAAAAGTGAAAAAAGTATATTTAAACAAAACGCATTTGACTAACAGGTCGAACAACGGATGTTCTTAAAATGACAAGCTTTTTAAAATGTTGTAATAAATTGATAATATATAAACTTATAAAAAATATATTCACTTATAGGGTCTTTACGTCGGACATAAACACATTTATTGTAAACCCAGTTATTGGCATGATACGGGTTATGTTCTTCTCGTATATTTTATGATGGTATGATACTAAACACCTTACGGGAGGGATTGTGCTTGATTTTCTTACGATGAAGACACAATCTTTTAATAAGTTTAATTGAAGTCTGGAGCAGGCATGTCAGTAACTGCTAGTAGTCCTTTGTTAATTTATGTTCAGCATTGTCATTTTTCTAAGTTTCTTCTGTTACATTATCTGAAATCGGACTCGGACTTCTTTTAAACTGAGTTTTACTGTGCGTATTGCTGTGTGCTTTTTTATTCCACATTGGCTAGGGGTATAGGAGGAAGGTTGATATCTCACAAAACATGTTTAACCCTGCCGCATTTTTTGCGCCTGTCCCAAGTCAGGAACTTCTTGTCTTTGTTAGTCTTGTATGTTTTTTTTTAAATTTTAGTTCATTTATATGTTTCGAAGTGGAGTGTACCGGTGCGGGATTTGCTCGCTGTGTTGAAGACCCATTGGTGGCCTTCGGCTGTTTTCAGCTCTTTGGTCGGGTTGTTGTCTCTTTGACATATTACCCGTTTCCATTTTCAATTCTAAATCAATGCCGAAAAAAGAAAGTTTCGTTTCTTTATTTTTGAGACATGATCAAATAACAATTTTGCGCGAAATGATTCTCTCTAGATTTTTCATACATTTAACATGTGTACCTGTTTTCTTGAAGAAAAAATGACAAGGATTTTATGATGTTTTCAAAATGGCTTTTTAATCTATGTGTTATAAAAGTATGAAAATAAAAGAAAATATTACCAGGCAAAATTGTTATTGGCACGACATGGATAAAATTAAAGGATTCCGAATGTCTGACATAAAGTCAAAAACAAGAGTAGCAAACATTCGTAAAACAGAGATTTTAACCTCTGGGAACAATACCGAAATTGAAAAATACAATATGAATAATCCCCCGAAAAAAAACACAATCAATTAGTTTATAATTATGACCATGTTAATGTTAATGTCAAGAAAAAAGTGCTGATTACTAGACTGGTGATACCATCGGGAAGAAAACCTACAAAAGCATAGAAAAATAGAGATTTATGAAAAAACTAACAAAAAACCATTAAATTAAAATAAGGCGATGTGGTATGATTGCCATAAACCAGAGATCCATTTAAGTGTTCGGTTTAAAAAAAAGACAATGTTTCCCTGCATAATCTTATAAAATTATGCATACCATAATTTTTGAAAAATTAGTATGTAAACATGTACTTTAAAATTATTTGTAAATTCGGACATTATTCATTTTGGATAGCATTATTTTTCAATAAACATAAAAATTGTTTACGACCTAATTAAAGCTATAATTGATTACCTTTAACTTCTAACGATGCTGCACTACGAATGCCACTTTTTTCTATTATGTATGTTCCACTATCTTTGACACTTGTATGTTCAATTGTAAGTTTATAGATATGCCCTTCTTCTGTTTCCAGTTTTTCAGTGTTATCAGTTATCTTTACGTCATCTTTAAACCATTCAACATCACTGTTTTCTATTTCTGTTTCACATTCAAATATTGTGTTTGAACCTTCCATTTGTTTTATATTTTCCAATTGACGTTTGAACAGTGCTATTCATAATGAAGAACAAACGATGATTGATCATTTAATATTCAATTAATTTTAAAGAAAAGTGTATGTTTTTTGTTGAATTAGTCGTGCAATTAAACGTATGTCAAATTTCAACCAAAATTTATCAGATATAGCCTTCAATGTACTATAATTACCATGAGTAGCACGACTAGTGCAACATATTTACTATGACGTTCTGCCTCTGAACACCTCATATCACCCTCGGTGTTGCCGGTCAGTACATGTATTTGGCTTTTGATGTATCTTCTGTAAACAGTGTTTTCCTTCATTTTCTTGGTCTCTTTTGAATTTATGAGTTTTTATTCTCCCTTTGATATAGTCTGTCCCCTTTTTTGAAGCAATGCATATTTTTTTTTTTGTGTTGCCGCATTCTTTTAAAACTAGCATTCATTATTCTTGTTCTTTACTGACGAACACAGTTTGTTCGACGAACCATGATATATATTCCTAATATATCTGCTCATATTTAATAGGGATAAGAAGCAATGAATAGGCTGTTGCCTCTGAACACCCCATATCACCCTCGGTTTTGTTGTGTTTTGTGCCGGTCAGTATTTGGCTATTGGTGCATCTTTTGTAGACTGTTTTTTCCATGATTTTGTCTCTATTGAGTTTATGAGTTTTTATTCTCTCCTTGATATAGTCTGCCCTTTTTGGAAGCATATAACTTTTGCCGCATTCATTCAAAACTAGCATTTACTATTCTTGCCCTTTACTGACAAACACAGTTTGTTCAACGAACCGTAATATATATTTCTTATATATCTGCTCATATAATCGGGATAAGAAGCAATGAATAGGTAGGCAAGTAATACTTTTCAAAGATGGTTTATGGGTACAAACCATTAAAAATAATCGTAAACAACCGCGTTTTTACACCTTAATTGATCACGTTAATTGAACGCTGATCCTTAAGAGCTTTTATACCTGTGCATGTACAAACATTTAACATAACTGGTCGAAAATTTCAAATACATAAAGCATTTTTTGCTAATCTAAAGAGTTAAGATGAAAAAAGCATTTTATTTATAAAAAGTCAGCGTTAAATTATTTTTAACAAACTTTAAATCATGACACTATTCATTATATAAAAATATCAAATTTTCAATATTTTTATTTAAAAATGAGAATTGCTAACGTACTTATAAATATATCTTATAATATGGATTCACTGAATTACATGTAAGTCTATGAACTTCTAAATTACGTTTAAGGTTTTGTTCAACCAGCCACTCAAATTTAACTAACATGTATATGCTTGTAAAACATAATCAACAAAGAGTCGGAATAATGGTTTTCTAGTTTATAACTTTTCGACAAACGGATTTAAGTAATTTTCCACATCACTTCGTATAATTGAAAGATTATTCATTATATTGTATAAACCGTTCCGATAGATCATTACAATCTTTCTACACTGTATCTGTATTTTTACCTCAACATGGGAATAAGTGGTGTGAGGAAAAAGTAAAATAACTAAAATACCGAACTACGAGGAAAATTCAAAACGGCAAGTCCCTAATCAAATGGCAAAATCAAAAGCTCAAACACATCAAACGAATGGATAACAACTGTCAAATTCCTGACTTCGTACAGGAATTTTCTGATGTAGAAAATAGTGGATTTAACCTGGTTTTATAGCTAGCCAAACCTCTCACTTGTATGACAGTCGCATACAATTCCATTATATTGACAACAATGGGTGAACAAAACAAACAGACATAATAGGTAAAAATGTCACTAATAGGGGTACAGCAGTCAACTTTGTGTTGTAATCTTAATCACTATAAAAACAAACAAATATGTCAACAACGAACAACAAAAAGGCATATAGACAAAGCACATAAGCAAAAACGAAAGACAAAAATACAAAATTTACCATAGCACAATAACACAATGACAGGATGTATAAGTACCGAGCCACGTCTAATGAATATTACCAAAAAAAAGACTAAACAGTAAAAGTAATAACAGTCAGTTTAAACATTTTCGGTAGCTTTTGTACAGATAGCAAATGTAAACCATATCTGCTTCCAATACGCGTCTGACATTAAATAAAAAAAAACTGTGACATGTAGCATCCTGTATTAAACGCAATTGAATCTTAGCATCCCCTGATAAAAGTCAGGTATTGTTCTGTACAATAAACGCACCTTATTGTTCTCGTAGTTTGGTTTTGGTTAGCATATACTTTAATTTCTATAATGTCTACAATTGGTTAGATACAAAGATAGCCCTACATGATGGTTACGATTTGGACAAATTGATATGACTACCCAAGGACTGGTTACCTTTTGAGCTAGCATTTTACACACCCATGTCATCATTACTGTATAGTGGAGAACAGGTTGTTGCTTTGATCAATGTATGTTTGCGGTTATTGAAGGAAGCGAGTAATATTGTTGAGTGTCCTTTTTGTAAATTGTTAAGCATGTCTATTTCGGTTGGCAGGTTTCCAAATGACTGGAAACTTACCAATGTTATTCCTGTTTTCAAAAAAAAACTTCTCCTACGGACGTATCAAATTATAGACCGATTTCCTTGATAAGTGTTCTCGGTAATGTTATGGAAAGATATGTATACAAGCAAATTTACAACTATTTACTTGAAACCAAGATTTTGACAGACAGCCATTCAGGACTAACACCTAGCGACCCGGCTATCAACCAATCATTATATTTGTCAAACGAATTTGGGAGGTCTTTAGACGAGGTTAAGGAAATTTTTGTTATATTTTGTGATATTAGTAAAGATTTTGATAGAGTTTAGAATAAAGGGTTAATTCGTAAATTAGAAGAAATTGGTATAACAGCTCAGTTGCGTCGCTGGGTCAATTACTATTTTAGTGGCAGGAAGCAACGAGTTGTTTTAAACAATAAAACGTCAGGATGGCGAAACATTAATGCCGGTATTCCTCAAGGATCAATCCTTGGTCCCCTTTTAATCAATTTTTATAAATGATATTGGAACTGAAATTCAGTCAGACGACACAAGTCTGTATCTTATATTGGACAATCCAGTTAATGAAGCATTAAAGCTTAATGAAGCTTTTTAAAAAAAAAACATTATTGGTCTGAAAAGCGGCTGGTTAATTTTAATGGTTATAAAACTGAGAGCATGACCATATCCCGGAAATTTAAGTTTGCGTTCTTTATATACATGCAGTATATGCAACCGTTAAGAAAGCTATCAATCAATCAATCAATCAGATGCCAGATATAGAAAAGTTAACCTCAGAATTATCCACGATAGAAATTACAGAAAAAGATATTGAGAACATATTGAGGACATATTGTTAAATTTAGATACGTTGAAAGTTATTGGACTCGATTGTGTAAGTCCGCGGTTATTGAAAGAAGCGAGTAATATTGTTGAGCGTCCCTTTTGTAAATTAATTAGCATGTCTATTCTTGTTAGATTTCCCAATGACTGGAAACTTACCAATGTTATTCCTGCTTTCAACGAAAATTCTCCTACGGACTTATCAAATTATAGACCGATTTCCTTGATAAGTGTTCTCAGTAATGTTATGGAAAGATATGTATACAAGCAAATTTACAACTATTTACTTGAAACTAAGATTTTGACAGACAACCAGACAGGACTAACACCTAGCGACCCGGCTATCAACCAATCATTATATTTGTCAAACGAATTTGGGAACTCTTTCTATGAAGTTAAGGAAATTCGTATTCTATTTGGTGATATTAGTAAAGATTTTGATAGAGTTTGGAATAAAGGGTTAATTCGTAAATTAGAAGCAATTGGTATAACAGGTCAGTTGCGTCGCTGGGTCAACGACTATTTAAGTGACAGAAATCAACGAATTGTTTTAAACAATAAAACGTCAGGATGTCGAAACATTAATGCCGGTATTCCTCAAGGATCAATCCTTGTCCCCCTTTTTATTAATTTTAAATGATATTGGAACTGAAATTCAGTTAGATGACACAAGTCTGTATCTTATATTGGACAATCCAGTTAAGTAAAGTTTAAAGAAGGTTTTTAGTAAATTCACTATTGGTCTGAAAAGCGGTTGGTTATATTTAATGTCAATAAAACTGAGAGCATGACCATATCCCGGAAACTTAAGAATCAAATTCATTCACAGCTTTTTATGAAGAATTTCCCTTCAAGCTCTGTTAATGAACACAAGCATCTTGGAGTGATACTGTCAAACGACGGTAATTGGCACAAGCATATCGATATTTTAGTAACGTAAGCTTATTCCCTTTTAAATATACTTTAAAAAATTAAATTAATTTTGAACAGAAAAACGTCAGAACAATTTTATTTTTCTTATACAAGGCCAGTTCTTGCATTAGCCGATGTGGTGTTTGATATATCAACATTAATCTAATTTATAAAATAGAAAGCGTCCAAATAGAGGCAGCAAGGATTGTAACTGGAGGGACACGGTTAACAACTATTGATTTACTATATAAGGAAACGGGATAGGAAAATATAAAGGATAGACGAGAGGCCCACGGACTTACATATTTGTACGAAATGACTAAAACAATATTACTCCAACTTATCTTAATAATATTTTACCCGAACGGTTCTGTAATATACATGAATATAATACGCGTAATGCTAACGCTTTTCAACCTACTGCAACAAGAACAACATTATACTCTTAACTATTTTCTCTCCTCAACAATGAAATATGGGAACTCGCAGACTATTGAACAATAAAATAGTCCGTCCTTCCTCGCCTTCAAATATTATTTTAAAAGTAACCGTGAAATTAAGCCAGTACTTTATGATTGTGGCTCCCGGTCTGGTCAAATATATTATGCAAGAATAAGAATAAACTGTAGCGGACTCCTCTATGGCAGAAACTTGATAAAATACCCAAAGTGTGTTTATGGAGAAACAGAAACAACGAAATATAATTTATCAAAATGCAAAATATTTAATGTACCTCGTCAAAGACATAAAAATTACCTAGCAGTAGATCGAAATACATTTATATTCAAAGCTGCGCAAAACTTTATAATGAGAAGCAATCGATTTACATCCACAATCTAATAATTCTATTTAGTCACTCCTCCCTTATGAAGAAATATTGTCCCTTTCTTTAATAACACTCTCATTTTTTTTAAACACCTTTCACCCCTTCCCTTTGCTATTTTCATAATATATAAAAAAATAATAATGAACTTTTTTTATATTATTGTATTCATTGACCGTATTTTGTTACGTACATTTTCGTCTGCTATTCAGCATGTAAACATAGTTTTGTATTTTTAATTTTTAATTTAGGGAGACGGATTTATATTAGGGCACTGCTCTTGTTTTCTAATCCCAATCATTGAATTACTTGTATATTTCGTATTTATTTCGTTACTATTGTAGTTATACATCACGATTTCTTTAATAAAAAATTTTTACACAAATAAATCAATCCATGCTGTTAAAAAAATATTCCAGAAGTTGAAAAACGAAAGAATTACTGTACTGGTTCAACGTTTTCTGATTGAAATGAACACGGTTTTTAAGGGAAAAGATATTACGGTTAGTCATTTGTTAGCTTCTGATAAAGGTGCAATATAATTTTTGATTAAGCTTATTATAATTCAAGTAATGTAATATACCCTGTACTGTATCTTTATATAAACAAACAAAATTCATTTTGACGATTTCAAATCCAAATTAAGTTTTATTATTTTTTTATTTTACTATGATTGTAACAACTTATTTATCGATGTGTTTCACGTTTAAAAATATAACATAATTTTTGGTTGTTGAATGACTTATGATTTCTGCGTGATCATGATGATAACAGAATGCATATCAAATTAAATAGTAAGATGACACCTTTATCTTGAGAGGGTATGGTAGCTTATTAGAACATTCCTAAATTATATATCATGATCATTATCTAAAATCGCTATCACAAAATATATATATTAATACAAATATTATACATCCTTATTACGAACTGAGAATTGGTAAAAAAATGTTGAAAAAGATATTTCTTATTTTTGTAATTCATGATCATGGACTAGATGTGGTATCATAGATGTTCATTATTTGATTCCACAGATTTTATTCAAACAATGATCACTAATTACAAAAGTGTAAATAACGAACTATACCGTTATAACGAATTTACATTATATTTCAAAAAGTTCCTAAATTGGCTCTTAGACAAAGGGAAATATCTGTTTCGTTACATGATTAGATACACTGATCTTCCAATGAAAATTTACCTTATTTATTTTTTCAATTGCAAAATCAAAACATTGTTTAGATCTTTTATACGTTCAGCGAAGTAATTGTGAATTTTGACTGCAGATTAATCAATGCATGGTGATGAATACATAAACCTCCTTATTTACACCCATCGCCCAAAAAGGCAAGTACTCATCCTTCGTTTGTAGTTGATTGTTGTATGGGAGACTGCTATTATCTTTCGAAGGACTGATTGTTTCATATATGAAAAATATTGTATTATTATAACATTAACGGTACTGATTTTCCTGCACATTTCGAAATATCTCTTCTCGAGGTCCAACAATAAAACACAGTTAAGCAGCTGATTAAACCAAGAAAAGACCCAAAGTATATCAAAATACGGACAAGGAATCGGAGTTTATTCAACATGATAGAGATGTTTTCCTGAAATCCAATGAATTGCCAAATCTCATAACGTTAAACTATTACTTACGTTTAACAATCAACCTTGTTGATTTACTTTTGATATCTATCGTCTCCATACTATATGATCCGTCATCAGTCAGATATATGGGTGAGATCTTTAACGTCTTTGAACGTCCTGCTTCTATTTTATTGATATTGTTTGCCTCTTCTATAGGCAAATTGTTTCTTTTAAATTCAATTTCAAATCTGTTTAACAGTAGTTTGTACACTAGGGACACAGATTGACCCTCTACTGTCGTTATGGCATCAGCTGGCTCCAAAATGAAGTAAGCTGTAAGTAAACGAATGAAATATGTATATTATCTTTCAATCATATCACTTACGTGCTAAAACGATATATAATTCACCTATACAATGAAGACAAAATTACATGTATTTGATCTTTAAAAATGTGAAACAAATGGCATTATTTCAAAAGCGTTCCATATAACCATTGTCATTTTTGGTTATAATATATATAATAAGGCAATGAAAGCTAATACAATCAATTGATGGAATACTCATATGACCTTGACTTTAATGTGCAAGAGATATTTTTTGTATTAAGTTCATTACTAAGTAAGATGATTAATTGATATGTATAAAGAAAAAATGAATGAAAAAAAAAAACATCTTCAAAAATACGGATTCATAGTTTTGTACTCCAGACGAGCGTTTCATCGATATTATACTCATCCGTGGCTCTCGAAAAAAAAGAGTTCGAAGGCCTAACCAAATACGAAGTTGTTAAAATTTAAAAACCAATAATTCCGAAAATTTGTATTAAAACGACTACGGCAATCTAATCATGTTGGTAAGTGTTTCGAATAATTCTGTATTCTATATACAGTAAATTTCCAAAGATGAACAAATCAATTGGTTCAAAACAAAAACTACTTGGCTTGTGATACCATCAGTGAAATATTTCAACAAGCAGTGGCATCGACATGGACAAGACCCACAAGAAAGAAAAAAAAGAGAAAAGAAATGAAAAATCACATAAATAAAACAATTTGATGGATGTATCTGATTAATATCTTGTAGGACAGTTTTTACTATAGTGTTTCTTCAACGTTCCATTGAATACTAAAATACAAAGTTTGAAAGTAGGCGAGACTAGTTAACAAATGCAGACAATGTAGATTTTGTAGCATTGGTATATTTGTCCATCCGTAGAAAGTACAAGGAGAAAACCAGGATGGGACAAAGAAATATTACATTATACGTTACTGACAAAATGGACGAATAGATAAGGAAATGTATAAAGAGGCTCCCTACGAAAGGTTAATCTTTGACCTAAACACTCTGAGATTTAAGCTTTACGTTTATAATTTGTATTGACATTTGTGTACTCTAATGTTTAGAATTATAATAATGACTAAACTTCATCAATGCAAATAGGCTTCGAAATGGTTAATACACACTTTGTAAGAAATTTTGCGAATCTGTATACATGTAGTAGCATTTGCAAAAATTAAATAAAAAGATATAAACAATAAGCCAGAAATATTTTGATGGGATCAAAACAACTTGTCGAAATAAGTTCATTGTTAAATTAGCAAGAATATTCTGACCTTTGCGGTAGTATTTGTCTAATAATTCATTTCCACAAAATACCAAAATCAAACCTGTAAAGAAAAAAAAAACATGTATAACTATCATGAATATGCAAACTATGTGAAACCATTTTGCAATGATTATGCATATGACACTATAAAATTCGTTTACTGTTACTTCCTGATGACTTGTGTAGGCAAAATCAAAAATATTAAAGATAAACGCATCACAACATACACTTACTCCCTCCTAAAACACAAACAAAAAATGACACTACAAAACATGAAAAATCAAAAACATTAACAAGCAAATACACAACAAATAAAACACCATTTAGTATTGAAAAATTAATGTTTTTTTGGTTTTTTTTGGCTCTAACGGTGACACCGATCCAAGCTGAAAAATTGAATTTTTTGGGCGATCAAAAAGACTGAACGGCAATACCGCTCCACAATTAAGCTCTTTTCATAATACAAGCATTAGCGCTAGTGGTCAATCCTCTACACTTGCTTTCCAGTCTTAAACATTGACTTTAAACATAAAAGAATTAAGATTCGTTTCAATTTGAACACTGATCGTTTTTCCGTCTTTAGAAATTGGAGTGTTTGCTGAAGTCCGAGTCCAATAACTTGAGGCAAACGTATTTCCCATAATACAGATGATATACATTCGAGTATCAAAACTGAAATTGACACTTTGAATCGGCGTTATCGAATTCAGAAGATTTCAGATCGTCATTGGTGGCATAAAGATCACGAACATCTTTCTGACAGTGTTTCAGATGATTTAACGTTGTACAATTTCCCAGTCCTTGAACAGATATTGTGACAGAGGATGGTTTCGGTCAAAAGATTTTTATTACAAAGATTCTGGATCCAGGAATAACGACTACAGCTAACCTAACAAAATAAGCCCAAGAAGCATAACAACGACCGATTGTGTTGTACTGTAAAAGGTCAGGACACACTGCTCGATTTTTCCCAACATAGGACGTACCTTAAACAGTACAGACTCAGCGCTAGCCACTTTGACAGAAATTATGTATTATTATAACATTCACGTATCTTTCTAGACAATGTTTGGTAAGAGTCCAACATATACCAATATACTATGTAGTATGATAATCGATTTAATACGTTTTCAGGAACTGTCCTTTGTTTGTCAAATTGAAAACACAGATATCACACATGACATAAGTTATTTATCAAGTTCTTACCAATACAGACAACAAACATGACGAAGGTAGACATCCCTGCTAATATTTTCCATAGAACTGTGAACGAAATTGTATAAAATCATTAGCATATACACATGATACATATTATTTAGAACGAATTTTAACTTGAAGTATGTTTACACCGCATCATATTTGATTATGAATCTTTTTCTTTAAAAATGCTGGAATTATTAATGGGATTAGTTAAAATACATATGTAGTATATGGTGTGCCGTTATTTAGGACACTGAAAAAGAAATGTGGTGCCCAAATATGTTTTTGAATATAATATAATGAATTATTTTTCACGAAAGTAATATAAAATTTCAAGGTGAATCTTCAGTTATCGATCTATGACTGCACTATAAAGGAGGGCTCGTTAACATAACTAATGTATGACATATTTGAATATTGATATGAAAAAGCTTTAAAGCATTCAACTATATCACAAAACAAATTCAAGGTTATATATTTAATTCATACCTAGAGATGATATATTGTCTTTTCTTGATACATACTGTGTTTGAATTTGGTTTTTATCTGTGTTATCTCTGGAAAACATTAACATTCTTGTTTACATACTAGCAGTACGATTTTAATATACTAGTATATATGTGTGTGTATATGTATGTTTGCAAATGGGAAATTCTGAACACGAAGAAAAAAAAGTAAAAAAAGAAGACTGCATTTCTCTCAAAAAAACTTTCAAAAAGGTATGAAATAGAAAAAGCTCTCACATTACAACAAATCAGAAACAACACAAATTCTGGCGTTAAAAGGTATGAAAATCACAATTTTTCAACATATTATTAGGTTTATATACATCAGTTTGTGTTATATTTCTGAGCTATAGGCATTTACCTATGCCTTGTAATTTTTGTTTACCTTCCATTCATAATTGGTTTGTATTGGGTCATCGATAAGTTCATTCTTGAATAAATGCATTCGTTATCTACAGAAAAACAAAAAAAAGACAAGTAGCAAAAAAACAAATTTCAGTCGACTTTCATCTGTGTACAATAGTCATGTGTAATAAGATACATATATAGTAATAGCAAAACTTCAATAATAGGTAAATATTGATATTGAATGACCTCCGAACAAAAAGGGATGTTCAGATCCCCGAGCCCGAAAGCCGAGGGGATTTGAACAGCTTTTTTGAGAGGAGGTCTGTTCATCCCGTATTAACTTCTCATTGAACTGTATTGACTTACAAACAGTTACAAACGTAAGAAAAGTACACAAGCAAGCACTCGCAGAAGCCCTGTTCCCCTGAAAGGGGCGAGTCTAAATCGGATTCAACTTAAATGATAGTTACCAAGACTGATATATACAAATACCAGTTACCTATTTGCATCAAAAACGATCTGCTAAAATTGCAGTTATCATAAATTGTGCAGCTTTAAATTATCACCATAGGATAGTTTTATAAAATTAAGGGGTACATTTATATTTTTTAATTCCAACTTTTCAAAATAATCATTTTTCTAATTTTTCAAATGAATAAATTAAACACCTTACCAATGGAGGTTCTGCACACGAAATTCTGGTTATGTATATATGTCGTACTTTGACGTCGCGAAAAATAACATTTTACGTTAGCAATGTCATTACCTCTCCTGTAACTGAATAATAGCTTGAAAACCAGTATATGGACCCATCTTTTTTAAAATGACATTTGACTTGATACTGTATGAAGATTATTTATTCATTATTTTATAAAGAAAATCACCTATGTTGTTTTTTTTTAATTAATTAAATATACAGCAAAACATGCCGGCTTTTTTTTCTTAAATCTTGAAAATTTAATAAAAATAAATCATTTCCAAAGATTTATTACACAATTTTGTAAAGAAGATATTTCAAATCGATTTACAAAAATCCGTATGCGTTTATCTTTTGAAACAAAAAAGTTTAATATGTCTATCCAAAGGATAGAAATGTCTAAGAAACCGAAATTTTAGGTAACGTCTAAAATTTCGACTCAATTTATCTCTTAATTTAGCACATAAAGGTATATTTTTTTTATTACATATTCAAATTGACCAGGTAAAAAATAGCTTGCATGCACATTTTCGTAAAAAAAACCCGTAGGATCGAAACTGTATCGTATGCCCTTAACGTCCAGTGGCAAATTTGTCAACCATATTCGAGACTAGATGCAAAGTAGGGCGACTGAAACAATGTTTCAAAAAAAAAAAGGTAAAATTTTTAGATTGACACTTTAATATGAAGAAGAGTTGGCTAGAGTCAAAACGTATGATAAGCATGATATAAGCAATGAATATCTTATATTATTTCGTAACACATTCGAGGAGTTCCTGTGGAAATGTAAGAGAACGACAACCCTTTTCTGCATGGTCAAGTGTGATATTTACTGAGAACTTACAATGTTGAAAGAGATAGTATTATTTTACAAACTTTTATGATTGTTTGGTGTTTATTTTGAGGTAGAACAGTATTGAAATCATAATTATTTAATTTAGCTTACACCTATTAGATCATTTTGTAATCATCTTTTTTTTAAAAGAGATTTTGATCAGAAATCCTGTCAAGCTGTTAAATATGCTTCAAGGCAGTTTCATGTCATTCATATAAATTCTTCGTTTTGAACTGTGACTAAAGAATATGAAAAAAAGTCAATATGAAAAAATACTTAAACAGTAAATTGCATTTTTCATACACCATAACAATTCAGTCGTTTCTTGTTTTAGTTCACATTATAATTGAACCGCAGGGCATATTTAAACATGAACGCAAGAAAATAATATCTCATTAGTTTTAACATATTCATTGTAAATGACAAAGAGAGGCGAAAGATACCAAACGGACATTCAAACTCATAACACTACAAACTGCTCATAGTCTGAAAAGACCATATTTTGTGCACAGATTTTACTTGACAAGACTCGACATAATCTCGACAGTACTTAATTGTACTTACCTGTTCTCGACTTTGGTCTCGACTTTACTTAATAAGTCTGATTGAGTACTTGATACCTTTGGTATAGACTGAAAATGGTCTTGACCAGTCTCGACCAGTCTCGACCTGTCTCGACCAGTCTTCACCTTTCTCGACTCAGTCTTGACCAGTCTCGACCTGTTTCGACTCAGTCTTGACCTTAAAATTTAGTCTAGACTGGTCTGAATCAGCCCATGTAATTCAATTATATATTGACCTTTCAAAATTCCAGGTTATTTGGTAGTTTGGCGTATTTCTGTCAAATTCTATGATTTCAGGTAAAAAAAGGTAGAATTTTCAGTTCGGACTTAATTCAGATAGTCACCTTTATACGTTGATTAATATTTATGAATGATGTTCTTGTAGCGATAATGAAATTTAGTAAACGTTTTGACAAGATTGTGATATCAAAAAACGTGGTGTAATATTTTTTTCGGTATTACAGAGATTTTTTCATTAAAATCAAATACGTTGTTACCTACACTAGAAATCAAATATGTTGGGATATTTTTACCCAATACCATGGTGCCACTGGAACGTCACATCAAACAACAAATAATAATTAACAATGCATACTTAAATTTACCTGGTGATAGTTTGAAAGTTGAATTAGTGCATGTCTTCAAATAACACGAACAATCTTCTTCTGATGGTACACAAAAACATGGATTTCGAGGTTTGACAAGGAAATCAAAACCTTTCGTGTAATCACACTTGCAGGTAGTATCTGTGTTTCGATTTCCATTACCATAGACAACTTGTCCTTCTTCATTACATGATGACTTAAGAAAGATACAGTTGGTACTGACATTTGTGTAAAAGTTTATTGGCCATGGCTGGAAGCGCTCTGACGAACAAATATCCGCATCTAATCCTCCACGAAGAACATTTTTTCGACCTGTAGGGAAATATTTACATTAAAGTTACCCTAAGTCAGCGATGTTTGATATTGATTTGTATTAAAGTTCAAAGAAAACTTTTTTCGATGAAATAATCACAAAGGAAACCTCCGGCATTTTATTCAAATTCAGGTGTTTGTAATAGAATTGTCGTCAGAATTATGACAAATTGAATTGAGGTATCCTTAAATCAACTGGAAACAGATAAAGGGAACATTTTGCTGCAATGGTAGATACAAGATCTGTTTCCATAATAAAATAAATTTACCTGGCTGTAGAAAATCGAATACTGTGCAGTTTTCAGAATATCCGTTGATGAGATCATTCTTCAGGCAAAAATACTTAGACGGATCAGGACAATGACTCCTTGCACGGAATGACCACTGCGCTGGCTCGGGACATTTTAATGGGAACGCAGCACAAACGTGAATCTGAAATGTATATTTTTCTGTCTGACTATTTATGAATGTAAATGTATGAGCAACATTTGATTTGAGTGGATTAACTTTTTTCAGCTTTTATACTTTTTGTTAGCTTGTATTTAGCTTTAAGCACACACCATTCAAAATGCCATTTGCATCTCAAGTCAGTCTGACGGTTTGCTGTATTTTTTTCAGAACTACAATAAGAATTACGAATTATTTATGTGCAATTTATAGAAAAGATCAAATTCAATTTGCAAGATAACTGTTTCTTGTATAATCTTCAAAAACATATGGTTGGCCAAAACATATAAAACGCTTGACAGTAAAAGACCTAAACAGGAACATGGTCAAAAATCAACTTTGTTTGTGTATGGTTAAATTGTCATCCTTGAACAATATCATAATCAAAAGACTTCACAACAAAAAACTACAGCTACCTGCAGCAGATAGAAAACCAAACAAAAATAAATCTCGAGTGTACCTTTTTTTTTAATAAACCTGTAGTTCAGGGGTTGTCATTGGTTCGTGTCTTTCTTATTTGTTATTCGTAAATTGTTTTGTTGTAAATTAGGCCGCTAGTTTTGTCAATTGATTTTTGTTCCATATTTTACATGTCGGGGCCTTTTATAGCCGACTAAAGGTGTGTTTTTTTATTGTTGAAGGTCGTACGGTTGCCTTTATTGCTTACGTTCACTTCATTTGAACTTTTATTTGGCTTATTTAGCAATCTTACTAAATCTCATCATTCTATTCATCAAATGCCTGCAAGAGTTGAATGTAATAAAATGGGTAAAAAATAAAGTATTAGAATATTCACGAAACATCACACCAACAACAATTGATCATCATAATCTTTTTTTCCTTACACATGTGTGGATGTGCTAGTGTGTGTGCTTGTTTGTTTGTGTACATGTGTTTGTGATTGCCACACGCGCAACATCAAAGCAAGTATTGTATTTGAATACATCTACAAACTGAAGAATTAATTATGAATGTCGCCGATTGCGATTAATCACAAGACTGAATTTGTAATAAAAAACACGATTGGTACCCAAGGTATTATACTTCCAGATCACTTGAGTTCATTCCAGATTTATTTATGTACTTTAAATGGAGTTGTTTTGTCCAATTCTCAGGTTTAATATTTTTTCTTGTGGTCATTGTGTCGAATTTCACTTTTTAATTTCTGACTTTGTCTGTCCATCTGTATAATCTTTTTCTACAGCGACACTTACCAGGATGAGGAATCTAAACAACATTGATGAATGCCTTATAATCTTGTCCTTCGCAAAGTAATTACATCTGTAAAACATTTTATAACAAAACACAAAAATGAAAAAATATGACAGCTTATCAATAATAATCCGAAAATATATTAGCTTTTAAACAAATAGAAAAAATAACAGCATGCGGCTTTTTATGTTTTAAGTCATTGCCTTAACATAATTAATACTCAAGCATGTTTCCCATGTTTGTTCGTCAATAAGAACCTTTAATGAGGTATTAAAAATAAGAAGATGTGGCACGATTGCCAATGAGACGACTCTCCACAAGAGACCAAATGACACAGCAATTAACAACTATAGGTCGAGGTACGGCTTTCAACAATAGGCAAAGTCAATACCACATAGTCAGCTATAAAAGGCCCTAAAATGATAAATGTAAAACAATTCAAACGATAAAACTAACGGCCTAATTTTTGTACAAAATGATGAACGAAAATCAAACATGTTACACAGCAACAAACGACAACCACTGAATTAAAGGCTCTTGACTTGGGACAGGCACATACAGAATATGATGGGGTTAAACTCGTTTGGAGGCGCCAACCCTCTCCTAACCTGTGACAGTGGTGTAACAGTACAACATAAGAACAAACTATAAAAATCAGATGAAAAAAGCTTATCTCATCAGATGGATACAAATAGAAATTCATCTAACAAAAACACAGAGTGGACGTGAACGGGTATTTATACAACCCCACAACAAAAAAACACTACGTACAGATCTAGAGTACTCGCAGTTACTGGCAGCTATTTCAAAGCCAATAACAACTAAAGTGATGGGTGTAAAACTAAAATATCAATCAGTACACATCCAACATCCAATGGATTTAGTGTAAGGACGTCGAAAACAGTCAGTTTAATGAGGTACTGATTGTATATGTTTTGGTCACACGGTGAAAATCAGATAGCTGAATTAACATTTTGGAAAAAGAACATTAAACAGTTTAATAATTAACGTTAAATGTTTAATTAATATGACATATAGTGGAATTAATACATCAAGTGTATCGCTTCATTTCATTTACACCCCCACACATATAGCAATATCAGATACTATAAACATGATAAGGCATACGATATCTTATATTTTGTGGTCAAGTTGTCGATAATTTCAAAGTGTTACATTTATTTCCGAAAAAATGAAGGTTAAAAGTAATGGTTCGTACACAATTTTGAGAAATGATACCGTACAAGAGCAAAAGGGCATGTTTGAGAATTTCCAAACACGTTATTGTATTGCGGTCTTAGGGTTTTAGATACCATTATGGTCGTTTGATCTCTAATTTTACCGATTGTAAAATTTTTAATGCGTTTGAATTCACATGGCTGGTGATGGAAGCATAGCAGGAGATACCTAACCTGTCGGCACAGCCGTTCTCTCTTCTTTTGAAGTTCATACAATTACTTTGGTTTTTGTTTGTTATATTGAGATGTCTCTTCCTAATCGATTTATGGGATTTAAACATTTGTAGACTATCGTCCCCTTATTCTAAACCGTAAACTACATTAATGAATATATGATATGAATTATAGTTCGGAAACGGCACGAATTAACTTAGAGGAAATTGGCCCACATAACGTATTAAGACGAAAAGTAAATCACATTCTATCAAAGAATAAGGAAATTCGAAGTAGAAAACGGTTGATAGCTTAACATCCATAGATGCCTTGAGAAAATATAAAACGACTGAGAGCTAAACATTCATCTTAACACGTGTACTTTGTCCAAAGGATCTGATTCCTTTTTTTTTAAAACATGAATATAATTCAATGAAATCAAAATTGTCAAACAAAATGTATTATATAAAACGTCATAAAATATACCATTCTTATATTTTGGAATGTCAAACACGAGTTTCGTTATAGCCATGCCGTTGTAAGTTTATTTTCTACTGTTGAGTTTGAATATCCCTTTGGTGTCTTTTGCCTTTTTTTATTTAACGTGGGGTGAAGTGAACATGTGATCTCACCTCGTGGTCTGAAACTTAAATTTAAGTTATTACTTTGCAAATCAACGGTTCTCAGATAGGATCCGAACACTGCCTCCATCAAACTCCAAATGACAGTGGCCTATCCAAAATGCTATAAGGGCGAACATAATTAGTTGGAAAATGAAAACACTAAAATTATACACTGACATATGGATATAAAATTTGAAACGTAATTATTCATTTGAGTTTATCATTGAGAAAAAAAACACCAATCGGATAGAAAACAAAGACGTAAACAGATAAAGTTATTGGCATAAAAAAACCCAAAAAAGAAATGAAATATAGAAAAGGAATATTGTCAGTAGGAACAATTATTATTTGTAATAGGTAAAGCAGACAAAATTTAAATGCGTTTTACGAAGGAATCGAACAAAGGCAAAACAAAAGTGGTCCTTATACATTTATGTGTGTATGACGTACATATTAATCGATTGAAGAAACCAAGTGGCAATTTATTGATCTCAATTCTGCATCATATAAGTATACATTGGTGTTTTGAGAAATTTGCTTATTTTTCGTTATTGTACCGTTTTGAAGAACTGACTCATGTAAATAAATGACACATGTAATACATATTAGCAAAAAATTCGCGATAAAGAAGAGAAAACAGAAATGCGTTTTTCTTATGATTTGCCATTAAATAAAAGTATCTGTTAAAATAAACATTGCCTAATGATTATTGCATCGTTAAGTGCGGCCGTCGTCTGCTATTTATAGAATAATATGTATCATATCCAAAATTATATAAAAAAGGACGATGTTGCAAATGCGACTACAATCCACCAGAGACCAAATGCCGTAAACGTAAGTTCAACTTTTTCTTAAAATTTTCAATGCATACATAGATATGATTTGACCAAATTACTAACTAGAATAAATGACAGACTAAAATATAAGACCTTTCATCGTGTGAGAAGTTAGGAATTATATGTAAAATCAATTAGAAAAAACAGCCACATATGTACACAATGTGAACGTTCTATAGCAGACTTTAATTATTCTAGAAATATGTTCATATTTTTCTGCTTTCTTGGTGTGTTTATCACGGGAACATTATTGGTAATCTTTAAACAATTAGTATCTGCTCCATTTGAAATCGTTTAAAAATTCCATTTGCTAACACAGAAGTCGTTTCAACACGACATTTGATCTGTTGGACAATATACATGACATACGCTTTGATATTGTGTTCTATATTTCATATTGAAGCGTATAAATAGTCTTTCGTTAAAAGATCGTGATCGCATGAGGTCGTAGATTCGATCTTTGGCTGTGGCGATCACATGCCATAACATTTGCATTTGCTTTCTTTCCGTTAAGCTATCAATATTAAGTAGTGAATGTAGGATAAAATGTCCTCCGCCAGACTACTCTTTTCGGCTTTGTACAAATCAGACTATATTCATATCCTATTTACGGTACCAAGCAGGGTATATTCTGATCTTTTTAACATGGTATCGTCCTTAAAATCCATTTAATATTTGTTACTGGATTCTAAGCAAACATGAATAGATCAATTTATTTTAGCCTTCCTGACACTTGAACAAAATCCGGCCGTAAATGTTAAATTTTTATTATTTAAATTCCGAAACTCGGAGGAAAGTCAATGTATCAACAAATCTATATAACAGTCAATTAATGGGGTCGTCTTAAAATGAAATCAGTGGTGTTCACAAATTAAAAATATAAAAAAACATTACAATAGGAGAAAGCGTTTTTACTTAAAACTAACACAGAATGTGTATTTGTATACAGAAATTGGATAATATTCATTGATACAAAAAAAAAAAAAAATCGGGCCGACCTTTTGATTACACCATCTGATATTAAATGCAATTGTAAGTTTAAAAGCACCACATTTCTGTAGTCTGTCACGTTATACAGCTCTAATGGAATCCTAAAAAGGCAATATATTTCTTCAAATCATCATTTCCATAACAAAACATACAAAAATAATGATGTACTTCATTCAACTCCTTTTCTATTTAAAGCTTTATCGAACTACTCATATTACAACTAAATCTAATTACACATAACACAAAATTAGCGAGCTGAACGGTATAGTAAGCTATGAAAGGACCCAATTGACAAAATGTAAAACAAGTCAAACGACAAAACTAACGGCTGCTTTATAAACAAAACAATTAACGGCAAACAAACATTCTAGACAGCAACCTCCAACACCCAGTTGATTACTTGTTTTTTGAGACAGGCATACATACAATGTGGCGGGGTTAAACATGTGTGTGAGCTCCTACCTACCCATTAACTTAAACAGTGATGTAACACCACAGCAAAAGAACGAACTATACAAACCAAGTGAAAATGTTTCCACTCGTTTGATTGACAAAAGCACACATATCAGCTAATAAAAAGAAATTAAATTCATCATGTTTCCAAGACTAAATATATCAACACATATCCCATATATTTTGTAAGTGTCAGTGGTTAAAAACGATAAATGATATTCAAACTGTTTTCGTTTTGAATAGTTCCTCCTTTCAGAACTTTGAATTAAAAGGATTCTTTTTAAGCCGTCAATTATCTATTATATCTACAATGTATGTAAATACTTTCAAATTACCGCAGTTATGACAACAGCTTGTCAAAAATTATTCTTCGTTCCAATGATAAAATAAACTCAGTGTGTATTAGTTTGAAAAACAAACGGTAAAAGGAACAATAAAATCCATAAGATCCCTGTCGACAATTTGATTTTTTTCTCGATGTATATTAGCTAGTTACAACATATTATTAAAAACAATATTTGTAATGCCATTAAATAGATGTCGTCTAACATTAAGAACTCTATCATCTATATCACGACACCATTTCAGTACATTGTTCACACCAAACATTCTTTTACTGATTTACTGCATGTACCGTGAACCTGTTTACAATTTATTTCATGTAATGAACCGTGTTTTCCCGTTGAATTTATTCCAATGTGTACACCTGTTTAAATTAACTGAACGCGATAAATGTTAACATGAGTAAGCTATTTCTAATATATCTATAACA